GTAGTTCTAAATACTAAATGAGCTTATTGTCAAAAGAAAGAGTCATGCAGGTCAAAAAAAAAAACTTTTCTGTGAGCTATTCAGAAAAATGAGCAATATGCAGGAGATTAAGATACAAACATCCAATCCATCCCAACCTAGAGAGAAACATTTTACAGTAACATGCAGAGTTTGATGTATGCTCAGCTAAGGATTTGTTATTAATTTGCCAGTTCAATACTACTTTTTCAGGATACAAGATGCAAGTTGAATCTATCTGTCCATTAGAAAATGATAGCAGTGAAAGTTGGGATTGTAAATCTGTGCTGCTGTGTTTATAAAACGTTGCCTTTCAAGGAACCCCTTTGGGAAACACCTTCCACAGTGTGAATAAAAAAAAATCCACATATTGAGAAGCTGATTCATACAAACTGAACCCCTGCTGTGTTTTTGTTTTGTCAGACACAGTGGACTGTTTTGGAGTGTTGATGAGATGTGAACTACGGGTGAAAAACACTTGAAAATGAAAAGCCTGTGCACATAATATACATATTCACCTGCATGTTATATGCAAGGCCTTTTCTGAAGCTCATACTGTATACATATTAATGATAGAAACATCAAATACAGCGGCGGGTAAATTAAGTTCTAAAGAGATGCAATGAAAACATGTAAAATATTCATATAGATTTTGATATTTATACAGCAGAAAGAACATACACAGTGTGAAAAAAATGGTGTTGATAAAGTAACAAGCATCAAAAGATTGAAGAAATGTGTTTACCACCTCTACATGTGATGTTGTGCAAAATTTGCAATGTAAAGCCATAAGCTTCTTTTACATAAATATGTCACTCAACTGTCTATAGTTGTGAATCATTTTTAAACTATACAAATAAATTCATATTTGTGACTTGTAAGGGGTTAAATATAGTTATAAGAACGTCAAGTCAGCCTTTTTTCAATTTCAGTTGCTGGGCTTTTCTCTGAATTATAATGTAGTCTGGAAGTTGGTGTTTTGTTTCTGCTGAGCCATTACAGTTGTTTCTATGAAAATCATTTCCAACTAAATTTATGCAAATGACATGAACCTAAAGTCAAGATCAAAGAAATCAAGGCAACATCCTAAGGAAAAATCCAGACAGAAATCCATCATATGGGTCTAGGTTGTCACTGGTCTTAAAGGGCAATATTTCAGTGGAATGAGATTTGGTGCTTGTTGACATATTTAATCTGTAAAAGATTTTTTTTAAAAAGAACATCTCCTACTTAAAGAAAAATATTCAAAAAATGAAGTCCCGAGCTGCAGTACAGATGTAACTGCTGTCCACTCTTCTGTGTTACAAGAGTCGTTAGAGGATGAGTATGTTTCTTAAAGCTGCAAAGAAAAACGAGGGTCCTTATTCACAGAAAAATAGTTTTTTGTGTAAAGCACCTGAAAGGGTCATTACTGATATTTAGGCTTGAGGCTGAATGGAGCTATTTTACCAGAATACAGAGCACAGAATCCATCAGGCCTCTTTGAGTCAGAGAAGAAAAGATATGTGAAGTGAACCTGCTGTGGATCGAACTGTAAACGAGCATGAAATCAAGGTAAGTGAAGATATCTAGACCACAGGGGGGGCGATGGATTTGAGCAAACAGAGGGATATGCTTTGACTTTGGAAACAAATACGAGAGCAACGCTTTTAGAATTCCTGCAACATGAATGTGCTCCAAGGGGGAAATAATGGCCCAGTCACATTTTGATAGTCTGTCCTCAAAAGCATGGTCTTTATTTTCTATAATAAAAGAAAAGGAGACTTCTAATGTCCAGCCTTCTAAGAATGTGTACAATGAAGACACGCTGACAACATGCAAAAGGCCAAGTCAGATGTAAAGATGAACACAGTCAAAGACATATACAAAACAATAAAGATTCTCCTTGAAATACGTCAAATGTAAGAAGTGTAAGAAATGTTGCGGCTACCCACTGATCGGACTGTCAACTATATATTGATTGACATGTAGTAGATGAGAGATAATGTTGATACCTCTGCTTCATAGTCGGTCTATAAAGTCAGAACAGGGTTAGATACTGTATATACTTTGATTAGGGAAGAAAAGGTTATATACAAGATGTGACAGGTACCATGTATCATCAGTGTGACAGACATGTTCTGATGAGGTGCCAAAGAAAGATAGACAGAATCAGGACATGACAAGAAGTAGCCAAGGCTGCCATGTCTGTATGTGGAAGAACATGATTGCCTGACAGTTCTGTATGTGTTGGAAAAAAAACGAAAAGAGCTGTGAAACAATCCATGTGACCGGAATCACACAGAGCACTGGAAGACCTGCTTCCATTTCTTGACTTTCTGATATACCATGTATATTTGAAGGTCCTCGTTGTTTTGAAAATACAGCATGTCTGTCACCATCACCTCTACTTCGTGATCTCATTATCCGTCTACATGGCTGCACGCAGTAAATAGCGTGATAATAAAAAATGGGTCTTTCATAAGGCTGAGAGTACAACAAACAGAACAACATGCGGCAGAGAGGGCGTCCTGAGGAGGAATTGGAAGAAAGACCAAGAAAAAGTGTCTTTTCACAAAACTAGCCTGAGGTGATTTATGGCAACAATAAAGGGCTAACAGCAATCCCAGTTTTTCATTTGCAGCCCATTTCCATATTTGCATTTTATCTTTTACTTTTGCGTGTATTTTTGAATTTGAAGGCAGATATCACCAAATGGAAATGGTTTGGGCGATGTTATGGCTGGCCTGAGGGGAAACCAGAGCTCAGCATGAAAGAGACCTTCTCCTTTTCTCGCTCCTCTACACATTTATACATTATAAACAAACTTCAGAGAGAGCAAAAGCCCATACAAAAAAACCCCTATCATCTTCTATAAGGAACTAAACCATCTACAGTGCTATTGAAAGAAAAGCCATACAGTCCCATACAGAAACATCATCATCATATTGCAGCAAAGCAGAAGACAATACTTCAAATACGGAGGGACAACATCCAGCTGTCCTCAACAACACAACACTAACAAACAACAAAGCATGATGGGAAAATGAGGCATGATGGGCTGTCGCTACTACATTGCCTTATAGAAAGGGAATGTGTATCTTGGCAGGAAACCCAGTGAGCACATGGCATCCACATAAAAGTCCTACATGCACTACATTTTAAATACTTACGGTGGTTTCCTTTAACATTTACAGAGAGGCTTTGATGTTTAAATACTTATACCAACAGATCGAAGCGAATAGAACAGATATCTAGATTCTTGTTGTGCTGAGGGTTTCTTCCTGGGAAGAGAAGGTGTTTCCTTGAAGCTATAGACAAATGTTTGCTCAAGGTGAATGTAGTTTCGTTCTGGAATTACTACTACTCTTTACTACTTATTCTAAAACTTCACCTTCAAATTTCTTCAAATCTTTTTTCCGAAGAAGTATTAAATAGTCACACAGCATCAAATATTCAGTTTCACAGCCTCAGGAAGAAAGCGAGGACCCTGAGAAATGGCCTTTGTTTACAAATAGGTCTGTCAATCTGAATATATTAACACAGCCATCTGACAATAAAACACTTCAGACTTGACATCTTCACTGAGTGTCACTTAATAAATATTGTTTGCAAATAATAACAGCATCCACGTACTGATATGCCTCACTCTGTGGAGGCTCTGTGTGTGGGACTTGAAGAGACAGAGATGCAAATGTTTCACTTGTGAAAGACTGACAGCCACACACAGCCTGAAGGGAAGACCACTGACCTTTTCTTATGAGAACTTTCTTTTCCATGCCGGTGGGATTAAAAAAGGGAAGATCTTTTTAAATAACCTTCTCGTTCAGTATCGATTAAAAAAGGAAAAAGTCGTGAAATGTTTTCTTTCATAACCTGTGAAGGTAGGATGAAGAGAAGGGTGAACTATACAGAGAGATGTCCCTGCTTTCTCAGGAAGGAATATTTCCAACACAACACACTTCTGATAAACACTGGCTCTATATTTCTTCTTAAATAGAAAATTACTAACGGTTATGTTTTCTTGAGTCGTGCAAACCAAGCGCTTGAATGTGTAAAATTTGTCAGGAGACGTGTCCTCTTTTTCTAGCAGAGGCTGATGTCTGGTGCTCGCTTCTTTCCTTTTCCCCCCCCCTCGAGAACTCTGTGTGCTTCTTTCAGTTGCATTTTAAATGACACACAACAACATAAGAGATGGTATAGACGACTGCTGTGCACAGTGGCAAATGGCTTTCTTATTCGAACACTTGCACCACCGCGCCCAAGATTAGAGAGTCTGCACGCCACATGTGCACTTGTCTGCAGATTTTCAGAAAAAGGTTCAATGCAGCCCTGCCCATCTTATCTAATCAATACATCCCTAAAGAACAAAGAGGAAGCTTTTAATAAGATTACAAATCAAAGCCTGGGCCAAAGTATCACTATTATTTAAACATTAAACCCGACAGATTAAAAAAAAGCAGGTCATGGCAAGGAGGCGGGACATAATTTATTTGTGCCTGAGTCAGCTATTTTGACACAGAAAAGGGTTAAAGGGGTCTCATGGGGACATTTTTCTTCACGGTTTTAATCGCAATAAAATGACATCGGTTCCAGCCACAAACTCTCCGAGGAGTGATTTGTTGAAGCCCTCTTCCTGTGTCTCGCTCTACTTTCCTGCAACCTGCTCACAGTCTGCAAAGTAATGGATTAGAGATAGAGAAGCCAAGCGATGATCCAACAGTGCCACCATCAGAGCCAGAGAGGAAGTACACCAGACTGTGTTCCTAAGTTTCCTGACAGGAGAACTAAGAGCAAGATTTGAAAAATCAGGTGTTCAAATTAAATGACTATAAATATACTACAGGACAAATGCAGCAGAAAGAAATACAACCCTCAGCTTTAAAAAACTGAGTTTGATATAATATCCATAAATAAACTTGAAGTTTCAGTCCAGATAAAGACAGGTTGATCGTCAGCATTTTCTCCACCATCAGCCGTCAAAACACACACGATAAGGGAAATTAAGTTTTAAAATGTTTATTAAAAAAAATAGAAAAACTTACATAAAAAAAACAAGGTTTACATCTATATGTCAGTCATATACACATAATAACCCATCCATAATGACACACACGAGCAAGGGATTTGGTTTGTGAGATTGTGAAGCAACAACCCAACGGCTATCCTCTGGACGGCTCAATAAGAGCCGCACTGAATACGAGGGGATAACGCCAACAGTATCAAGTTGAGTCCATCCATCGTTTGGTTTGCATGGGAGTCGCATTTGCAGACTTTTGAAATGAAGGACTTCACAACATTTTGGTTGTAATGGCTCTACCAAAACTCTTGTATAGGTGAATTTGTTTACATTCCATGGCCAGTTATGGATTGTTGTGTAAATGTAGCTTTGAAACCTTGTCTTGTTTTTAAATATAGGAAAGGAAAATCTCTTATACAACCAGTTTTTAACTCTTAAGACAAAAAAAAAAAAAAAAAAAATAGATGTGACAAGCTAACATTCGTTTACTGCAGTAAGTTGTCTACTCCTGGAGCATTCACGTTGAAGCTGCATATAGAAAATAAAAGCCAAGTAAACCTGGCAGTGCTTACAGAAACAAATACAGAAAGCTGGCTACGTACAGGACAAAGGGCAAATTTGGTCGTTTAAGAAGGCAGTAACCTGTTGCTTCAACAGAATCCAAAAAGGAGATATAAGGCAAAAACACAAGCACTTTGCTGGTAATAAGTAGCACCAACTCTTTTTGAAATGGTATGGACTATAAACTGCTAAAAGGTGCATTTCCTCAGTACAGCCTGAAGTCTGATGGGAGAAACTACACCTACTAACTTCTTTTAAGTGTTTGAAATGACAACAAGTGGTGGGAAAACCTTTTGGACAGGCAGTTGGCAAAATCTCAAGAGATCATATTGCAATGGGAAGTGATGCATGAGGAAAATGTTGGCATCATAGGATTTTTGGCACATCTCTCATGCTTCAATACCATAGCTCCCCCCCTTCTGCTGGAAAGCTGTACACACACACACAAACACATTCATTCAAGGCCCTTAAATCCATCTATTGCACTGATCAATGTAGTCTAGAAATAAACAGGAGAGAACGTAGACTGGGGAGGACCCATAAAATTAAACTAAAAATGTGAAATAAATTAAATAAAAGCAAGCCATTATTGCACATTAACGCAACAAATATAAAATAAGGTGGAAATGTTCACAATACAAAAAAAACAAAAAAAAAAAACAGAATAGTGCCAATGTGAACGAGAAAAAAAAAAATCCCTCAGTGACAAAAACAAAGAGAACCAAAGAAAATGACCAACACACAAAGGAAGTAACACTTGGTACATTCAAACAAGTCATCACAGTTTAAGCACTTGAGACAAGGTCTGTTTTGTGCCGTCACACCGAAAACATCAAGTCAGCGCTGCGCTGCATAGGTAGAAAGGTAGTGCTTCGCTTCAGTTCAGAGTACAATTTGTAGGTGATAGTCCAAGCTGTAAGAGCTCTGAATCGAAGAGCGTCGCCCAATAAGGAGTTGCATTCAAGAGATCAAAGGAGCCCGAAACCTGATCAAAAGGGCCAGAACTTCAAGACAGACCAGGTTTGATAAACCAGTTCAGTACTATGGCACATGATGTTGCATTCAAGCTGTTAAACTTGATACTCTTCAGTCCTGCAGCCGGCTTTTAAGCAGGTGGGAAGTAACACTGCTGAAAAGATCCAGTTTCGGGAGATCAGTTATTCCTCCATCAACTCAAAGTTTGTGCTGGTGTGCATCAAATGAAGAGGAACGGCTTCTCAATCCCACGCTGAATTTTGACACTGTTTATGTTTTAGGTTGTTTAAAGTCGGTCTTCTCCTGCAAGAGCGTAGCCCGCACAAGGCGAGCAGAGACGATTATTCCACACCCTGCGAGACAGCTTCCATTGACTTCTGGATTCCTGGATGTAGTAGGTGTGTCTTTGGAGCGTCCGACTGAAAACGGGTGTCCCACATTCACAGCTTCTCAATAATCAATGCCAAGTCAAGTAGTGTCAGTCATTCATCTGCTCTGGTTGAGAGCAGGAGGGTCATCTCTCTTCCTACGTCTCCAGGTGTTCTGGTTGTACTGCTGCTGGTTCCTGAAACCCGCCGCTGCGTTATGTCCCTGCTGAGCAAACCGCCGCAGGGGACTGAAGGTACCTTGAGAGTGATTTGGACCTCGGGGCCCACCTTGATTGTGCTTAAAGCCAACTTTGTGAGACTCGTGGGAGCCGTGGGAATTAGATCTCATGATGTACGCGTGGCTCTGCTGCCCCGCGACCTGAGGATGCTGGAGCTGGTGGAGGGGGCTGGGGAGAGGGCTCGGGGAGTTGGTGTGCTGGGAGACATGTGCGGCCTGCGACGTGTGCCGGTGCACAACACTGATGGAAGGTGGGTTCTCATGGTAGAACTGGCAATTAGAGAGTGGTGGGATGGTTAGGCTCTCTGGGAGTGACATCTGGACCTAGAGAGAACAAATAGAAGAGATTAAGGATGGGAACTATTCCAAGGGGAAAGTAAAGATCAATAAAATTGCAACAGGTTCGATTCTTACATTGTATATTTTCTGGATTCAATTTAAGTCAGTGTTCCTGTTTTTCTGCAACCTGTGAGGGGAAAACAAAAGTTGGACCTACCTGAGGTGCAGTGTGGATAAAGCCTGCTTGATGAGAAGCCCGCAGGTCAGCAGCCATCTGGATTACTGACTGGACTGAGGCCAGAGTGAGAGGGTGGAGCTGGATAGCAGCATTACTGATGGGTGGAGAATCAGACTCCTGTAGAAGAGACACAGTTTTACAAAGTGCAATTAGTGGAAATCATTTTCAGCCAGAGTTGATATGATGTTTTTCATGCTATTTCATGTGTTGCAGAAGTGTGAGGAATCATCGTGAACTAATTAAACACATCTCTTGTAAAAAATTAAAAAAAAAATCCTGTGTGCTTACTATGTCACTCCCAGAGGAGGAGGAGAGCGAGCAAGCAGAGGATGATGATGAAGAGTGGTGTTGAGGACTGGGGAGGAAGACCGGAGAAGGTGAGGGGGAGTCAGCGCTGAGGGGGGATGAGGTGTCTCTCTGATCTTCAACAGAAACCAGCATCAGCCGGGCGAGGTCCTGCTCACAAGTGTCCACATCTGGGGACCAAACAGTATTCGACCATTTAATGAAGAAATATGTGAACTGATTCAACAGTATGTGGAATCCATTGTTCCAGTAGATCAAAGTTACATGATCTAGGTGAGGTTGCAACAAAGTTACCGTGGTTCTCCAGCTTAGCGTACTGCCTGAGTCCCCATTTCTTGATGGTCCAGTCCCTGTAGGCCAACACCTCTGGGCTGACTTTAATTATTCGGCCTAAAGTACTGCAAACCAGAGAGAAGGTGAAGTAGATAGTGCTGGCAGGATATCCAGGAAACAAATGAATCAGAAATGGCTAAGAAACCATTGAAGAAACCAACCTGTCATACTCTTTATTGGGGTAGGCACGAGCAAGAGGGGACACACCATGACTCAGAACCATGTAGGCGAAATCAAACACCTGCTTCACCTGCAGGACGCCGTATGAGCTCCTGCCCACATCGTTACCTGAGAATATCACAACATGACAATAGTATGGGCATGGTTATTCAAAAGGTTTATTTAGGATGAGAGTAATCCACACTTCGTGATCCACTTTTTTTATTTTATTTTATCCAGCGTGCACGTTCATCATGCTCTTTCAAAGAAAAACTGGATTATCAAAAAGGAGACTTCACACTATATACGTTGTGTGGATTTTGGCTCCCCCTGTGGAAAAACTCAAATACTCTTTCAATTAGTTTTTTAATGTTTGATATTGATGCTGTGAGGTGAAATATTTTATTTAGGACAAAATCTATTTTTTTATAACCCTAATGTGTACTTAATTTACTCTGGAACTGAAGCAATACGGCATTTTAGGCCAATATGTTGAAAGAAATGTCATCAAATATAAAGTACATAGTAAAAATGTTGTATTGTTTGACTATTTAAAAGTCTCCTTACAACCCTATCTTCAACCAAACCTCTGACTTGATCAAGATTTTATTTTTTTAAACTTTTAGACTTGAGCTTGTTTAGCTCTTTTCTAGTCTTCTGACTACTCAAGTGCTTTTTACACCACATGTCACACCTACACATTCACACGCTGATGGAAAATGTTGCTGTGTAGTGAGATCATCAGAAGTAACTACTATCCCATTCATACACATTCATTTGCCGCAGACGAAGCAGCGGGAGCAATTAGGGGTTAAGTGTCTAGCCCAAGGACACATCGGACATGTTGCTGCAGGAGCTGGGGATCGATCCCTCGACCTTCCGGTTGAGAGACAACATCTCTACATATTTTAGCTGGTAAACTAGTGTACTTCTAGCGATGAAACAACACAATTTCAATACTTGATCCTGATAGCTTTTATCTTATTGGATTACTTTAGAATGATTTGGCAACTGGGATTACAAACTAAAGCAACTTCAGAGAAAACAAAGTATGGAACAACCTGGTTATGAAACCGCAGGGAAATGTGTATCAACACAGTATTTCTGAATAGTCTAAAACGGTTATTTTTGACATCCCTGAGCACTCTGATGACACATTCATCCTGTATACCAGAAGGTGAATTTAAAATGTTAAATTCCTATCTGACCTGGTTGTATAGGATCTTCGATGCACAGCATGGATGGCCTGTTTCCACTCCCCATGGCTTTGAGCATTTCCTCCTTGGAGAGGTACGCCCCTCCGTTCTTCACCCTGATGCCGGTCTTTATGTAGTTGAAGTCACGGCCGTACAGCTCGAAGAACTCGATGAGGAGGATGCCCAGGTTGATGTTGGTACGCCGTGTGTCTATCCGAGGATGTAACTGATAAGCAGGACAGAGAGAGATCATTAATGTTTACTCAAGTTACATTTTTGTAATAAAAAAAAATAACAAACATCATTGTCAATGATTTCCATGACAAACAGCACAGCTAGAAAACATCAAACGTATGAGCATATTTAATGCTGTGTTAAGTTCAACACTATCAGTGAGTTATTAAAGTGAACTTATGATTATATGACTTCACTAATTCTGTCTTCTGAAATTACATTTTTACAAGTAGTACATTCAGTATACATACAAGATTAGCATTGGTTACAATGACATTATTTCAATACATTAAAGAAACAGAAATTGAAACCAATGAAATAGGATATCATCTCTTGTGGATATATGAAACAAACAGAGGCAGAAGTGTATCTGAAACAAATTAGAAAATGTGTTGAACATGAAAGCATTTACTGAAAAATCAGGAATAAAAGTCACACCAGTATATAAGATGCAGTCTGTTTCTTGGGGTCTCTTAAACCGTTTTCACATAACGCACTCCAGAAAATATCTAGATCATTTCAGGAGGACTGCTCCAGATATTCTCCTGACCTGGCTGTTCACATATGCTCACAACGGGGTGGGTGGGTGGGTGGGTGCTATAATGAGAATATTTGCCCTCAACAGATTAAGAATATCAACTAAAGAGCGAACAACTTAATGACGAGCAGAAAACATTATGCAGCCGTTAATTACGTGCACAGAGATGGCAACGGCCGCTTGAATACACACTCTGTCCTGACTTTAGGGCACATCTCATCGTCTGCAGTGTGCGATGGTGGTGGCTGCACTCACGGTAATGACGCCGTGTTCGTCTGCATTTTATGCTGCTTTATTGGTCGAAGCCACCACTTAAAATTAAAAGATTGGTATTAAAAGTGTGTCCTATACACCACATATTTATACATGCAGAAGTTTGTGTACCTGCAGAAAGCTGATGGCCATCAGTATGAGGCTGTAGGAGCTGATTCCTCCAGTAAACACTTCATTCAGATCCCTCTGCAGAAGGAACTGCTTCAGGACAAAGATCAGAGGCGGCAGAACTGTGTACTTCTACAAGACAGAAAGAAAAAAACAACATTAGTGTTTTTATAACACACACACACAAAAAAAAAAAAAGGAAAACATTCCGATGAGAAGGTCATGTTTCAAAATCTTACCTTCAGATAGCTTTTGATGAACTGTGCTGCTTTTACTGCAGTCTCCACATTAAAGCTGATGTCCACCTTCACTTCTGTTTCATGGTCAGTAAGTTTGATAATTGGCACCTAAGGACAGGTTAAAATGACATTTCCCATTTTATAATAAACTATAGACACAACCCGTGTCATCATGACAAGAGTCGACCAGAATGAAGGAGCCTCATCCTCTTGAAACTTACGGTAGCTTTGTCCAGGACCTTGATGGGGTACGGGCCGGCCACGTTGTGTTTCTTCAGGGCTTGTTCCAGTTCCTGCAGAGGAGGATGGTCCCACTGTCCAAACACTACCAGGTCAATGTCACTGAGAACAGACACACAAAATGACTTGGTACCTCTAACACTTTTTAAGCAAGCTTTCTGTCCATACACAAACACTGCAGAGTGAGGATGAGATCACTGAAAACATCGGGAGACCGTCTCTATGTTCTTTAACTAATCAGCCTTTTGGAAAAGTGCACTGGTGTGTTTTATGGCTACTCAGAGCCCTTACCATGCTACCTTAGTAAATTAACTTAAGAGTGTGTAGGTTCTGGAAGCACAATATGCCTATTTGGAAGACTGGCTGAAGGAAAGATAATGATAAAAGTGAAAGAGAAGGTGACTATCACATTAGGTTCCTATGAAGAAAAAGTCCATTGCATCCGAGTTTAACAAAGGTTGTTGATACATTAACCAACAGGTACTCTGCAGTCTTATCAGGAATTAGATTCATGATATGGTCATCTTAAAAGACCCGTAGTTCTCACTCATGGTCAACATTTCGTTCATCGAGAAGTTAAGCACAGTTTAATGAGCATTAAGTGAAGTGTGGTGCAGAAACAACCACAGCATTAAACTGTTTTTGTTGTTGTTGTTTTTTAAATTCCAACACTGACTGTTTATGTTTATTTGCACAATGCTAGTGACAATGTTTAAAAAGTTCTGAGCTGTAAAACTTGGTATTCCTCTTTATCAACCTTGAGAAACATACTGTGACGGTGAACTCACACACACCATCAGATCGTTTTAAAGTAAGCTCTTAGTCAAACGCACCTGGTTGATGTTTTGCTACACTAACTCTACGGTCTCTGTGGTATCCCATTATTTAAGCTCCATGACAAAAAAAATGGATATAAACATGGCCCAACTAAGGAAAGTGCTAGCAGCACCACTTCCAGGAGACATTTGAGAAGAGGTCAAGGTAAAGGTCACACTGTACAAGACGAGACACACACTCTACCTGGTTGGAAGATAAAGTCCTGTGCTGAAGCTGCCAAATATCTCCACCTGCATTGAACACAAACACAAATCAAGCTTAAAGTAAGACAGAACACTTTGTAATCATTATCACCTATAACTCGTTTGACCTTTGTGCTCATTGGCTGTTTTGTCACGGGGTTTAGCAACACTGCTACATCACTAAATTCATGTTATTCACTTAACACATCGTTTCTTAAAAGCTCATGGAAGCAGAATCAAACTCAACAATAATGTCACTTTATCTTTTCCTGACTGATGCATGTCCTACTTTCACATACAAAAATGGAAATGTACCAGGAGGGAGTTAAAGGTGCACTATGGAGTTTTGGTAGAGAAATGTGCAGATTCTGTGGTATATGTTTATAGCTTTATACACAAACTGTCCTCAGAGGAAAATGTGGTCCCTGTAACACTGAAGATAGAATGATATGGCGAGAAGTTGTGGTGGTAGGCTCCTAAACAGTGGAACTGTAACTCTCCTGGTAGCTTGTGAGCTCCCAACAGAGTTCCAGGGACCTAGTTTTTATATTCAGTTCAGAAAATATCACAGAATTGTTTCACTTCTCCAACTTTCAAATTTCACTACCAAATCTTCACAGTGCACCTTTAAAAAGGTAGCTAAAAAAACAACCCAAAAACATATTCTATGTGCAATGGTTCTTTGGAGAAACGTCTTTCAACTTGTATATCTTTCTGCTTAAATAAGTCTTAAAGTCCACAATCAGCAATGTTTGCCCGATGACAAACATCAAAACTCCCATGCTGGTTAGCAATATGCAGGAGGCCTGAGCAGGTGTTGCTAGGGAAGCTTAGATTTACAAATAGTTCTGTAAATCGTAAAAAAATAAAAAATAAAATACTTGTGCAGATTGTCTACAAGAGAAAGAACATTGGGAATACATTTATTATATTGCATGCATCAAATACATTTCTGTACTTTTTCCGTTAGTTTAGAGTCTCACAAATACAATGAGTAACTGTTGAGGTAACTAAAGTATGACACATGGACGTCCTCTGTACAGCAGCAGATAGTAGTTAAGCTGAACTGACTGAGGTTTTCATGTGTTCCCTTTCATTTTAAATAGAGTTACTTACTGGTCTGGGACCAAAGTCAGATAAAAAAAAAAAAAAAAAGGAACCACTTTCACTGCGACAGCGTGGAAAAATGTTTCACAAATTGGTCTTCAGAGAGAATAAAAATATCAAAACTTAGAGAGAAGAAGCCAACTGGGACTTCTATGGACCATGATTAGCTCAAAATGTTTACAGTGCTAACAAAACAAAAGACTGTTTATTTGATCAGAAGCCTGCGTCTAACATTTTCTTGGCAGCATACACTGGAAAATAAGTCACTTACTTACTGTGGGCCTCAAATAACAAAACACGTGATTACTCTTCTTTGACATGTAGTGTTGACTAGCATTTGACTTGAATGTGGATGTGACGATTCATATGAAGAGCAACAACCTCCAGACACACTAACAGCAAAGAGTCTCTTAACCAGTTAATGCTCAGTGTGATAAGACCGCAGGAGAAGGTGTTATTTAACTCAGTCTGCCTCATGCATGTAAATGAGTAAAGACATGGAAGCCCGAATCCACACTACATCTTATATCTAGCTTAAATGTCTCCAAAGTTCAATACACCTTACTGACAGTAACTCAGCCAAGAGTCCATGATATACATGTTAAACTTCTGAATCCTGTATTTCACATTACCTGAGTCCCTTTGCACCTTCAAGAAAAAGCTAAAGACCCAGCTCTTTCATTAACACCGACCCACTTAATCATATTGATGATGGCGATGTTAAGAATAGTTTTAATGCTGATTATAACTCTCAGGAACAGCTGTCGATGACAATACATTAACTTCCATTAATAAAAAAAAAAGAGCTCTTCCTCTGTGTACTGCCTGTCATCACCCGTATGTCCGATCAGACTTAAAGTCTGTTTGTACTTACTGACGTTGCTACCTCCTGGCTTGTGACCAACTTTGGATAAAAGAGGGATCATAGATGATATTTTTCAGAGGATAAGAAGAAGCAGTTAAAAAAACGATATGGAAAAGGGCAAAGAAGAACTTTCCCAAAGGGACTGAGAGTTGTGATGACATGCTGGGTAGATGAGAGTGGAGTACACCGTCCCCACACAAACAGATGGAGTTACCTCTCCAAGCCTCTCTGCACCACTCACCCTAGCTGTGGGCCACAAGTCCTTGATGACACTTTCTATTCTGTTCACGACGTTTCTCCTCATGGCCTCCTCCTCTGGCCGGGGTGACATGAAGTTGAAAAAGTCCATGATTTCTTCATGAAGACTGCAAGGGGAAACAGAACAGCTTGTATCACAGCCTCATGTACAAGAAGGGGGAAAAGTGATGGTTATTGGACATTGTATGTGAGATTCAGGAGGGGAAGTGTTGGGACTTGGCCTCCGTAACACATTACTGCTTCAAAACAGAGAGAAGGAACACTCTAAAGCAAGGGTTCCCAAACTTTAAAAGCATGTGACCCCCAAAATAAGCTGCTAGAGACATGAAGACCCTCGCGGTCCATGGAGGTGGTTAAAAAACCCCGGAAGACTAATAGGCAAATATTATTTTAGTGATGTATTGAAAGAAACGCTAGAAGCAGAAAATAATGAATCTCTTGATCTACTCTTTTGTATACGTGTTCACAATAATGGGTAAAATATGCAATTTTAAGTAATTTTACATATACATGTGTTGAGTCCAGACCCCCTGCTCTAAAGCACCTAAAGTGCACATTGATAATGCAATATCTGAAGAGGACATTATGATTGTGACATTTTCTCGTTTGAGTGTACAAGATGTACTTTTTTGTTGAGTGACCTGCTGGGACTCCTTCAAGAACCCTGCGACCTCACTTTTTGTAATCACAAGTTAATTCATTAATTTATCAAATACCTTCACCCCCCCCCTCCCTCCCTCCCCTCAAGTCCTCACCCATTAATGCCCGGGCTGTAGCGCCTGGTTTTCCACAGGCTACAGGTAGAGTCTATACAGTGTCCACTGCAGCCGAAGGACAGCAGCGGGTTGATGCCGTGGAAAGTGTTGGCTCTGTTCAGATGCCTCCTGCGGCCGGAGGAGTGGGACTGGTGGTGGTGGTGGTGGTGGTGCTTGTTTCCGTGCTGATTTTTCATCCCACTGGGGGTGTGGCCGAAAGATTGTTGCATGCTGCGACAGTGTTGCTGAACAGCGTGAAAAGGCGGAGGGGGATGTTGCCGCCGGAGATTGTTCTCGTTCAACTCGTGCTCGCCGTAGCAGAAAACCCGGTGGGCCTCCTCCTCCTCTTCTTCTTCTTCTGCGACGTTCAAATTGTCGATGTGCAGAGAGGAGCCGGAAGGAGAGGAGCTCTCGGCCTCCGAGTCCAGAGAGGAGGAGGACGGCGACAACGAGCCTTTCCTCCGGACACTTCCCCTCTCTCCGTCTCGCTTCGCCAGTTTTCCGAACACACCTCCCGGCGGCGGCGCTGCTGCTGCTGCTGCTGCTGCTGCTGCTACGTTTTTGCAGTAGTCGCCGCCGTGCGTGTCCGTGGAGTTGGCATTATGCGCCGCGAAGTTGCGTTGGTGGTGAAGGTGGTTGTCGATGCCGGGGTTTGCTCCAAATCCCTGAGAGGTTTCCCAAATGTGCATCCACAGGGAATTGGCAGGTCCCTTCTGCTCCGGCTGGATCCAAGCGGTCCTGGGGTCCATGAGAGTCGACTTTACCGAGAACCCTCTGCACTGGAAATGACGAGCAATTTGGCAAATCAAACACGTCGCACTGCAGGACACAAATAAATCCTACCGCCTTGATTTACTTGCTGTCCTCGAAGCACTTCATGACTGGAAACTGGTTTGGTTTTTCAAGCGGCTAGTCCAACTCCACTCCCCATGTAAGCCAGCCAATATGGCGCACCCAGCAGCACGGATCAGCGTCTGCGCATGTGTGAGGGATTTAAATCTTTTGAACACACCCCTCAGAATCAAGAGATGCGTCAAGTCATCCTCACACAGGCCTAGACAAGCCGGAAGTCAAACTATTTAAAAAATTCTCCTTTGAAATATAAAATCACACGCCACAAAATCAAATATTAGAAATGGGTCATAGATATATGAAGGTCCTTGCATTATTCACAAGATTATCATACATAAGTCTAGAGTCGTTTTCATCAGCACAAATTTTTATTTATTTTTTATTTTATTTTTATCAATACATTTTTTAGTATCTATTTTTTTGTACATTCTTAATTTTAATTTTTAAATTTTCTCTTTGCTGCTGTAACAATGTAAATTTCCCCGCTGTGGGATAAATAAAGGATTATCTTGTCTTATCTTAAATTGAAGACATTTTGTTTGCATTTGTTACATGACACGCCCCCCCCCAACTTAAACAATGTTTGTATAAGAGTATTTTACCATATACTTCACTGTATGTATTTCATACAGACATATTTCAGTCTGCTTAAAATGTAGTCACAATACCCGCCATATAATTAACACATAACATTTCAAGTATATTCTAAACAGTAATGTTTATCTGACACATCAAGAAGGACAAAAAAAAAATCCTAGTTTCCAGTTTAGGTAGACATTTATTTTGAAGGTCGCTCCCGGAAATCAGACCTTTGTGCGTGTCTACACTTTATGAAGACCAAACCGGTCATTACAAAACGTGAGAGTTGTAGTAATTTGTCTGGAGGATCAATACTATCTCCACAGCGCGTTCAGTGCTACTTCTGTGTTTTATACTTAATGTTTATAATTAACACTTTGCCACAAAATATGGACTAAGCTTCCGGCAAATGACTGACAGACGCACATTTCGTTTTATTTAGTAATTAACTCCCCTGGACATTTTTTAGGGCTTTGTAATATAGAACACTGCAGCAGCATTGGGAAGAAATCATGAAAAGAGACATACATAGATTCAATATATAGACATTTTAATTTTAAATATTTAAATTATAAACTGTACAAATCACATGTGATTGTAAACATCTTATATTTAATTCCTACAATAAACAATCTCTTGAAAGAAAAACTAAACCTAACAGAGCCACAGTTAACAACAAAAGGCATCTACTGGTACATGTTTTACAATATTTTACAGGATAACCTGAGTATGTCAGAGGCAGCTGATTATGCGAGTACATTTATTACAGTATGGACATTTAAAACATTAAGAAAACCAAATTGAATTGAATTTCTCAAACATTGACCCAGAAGACAAGTAGTACTATATATCAAAATGACATGTTATTTATTTATTATTTAAGTAGAAGTGCAAACATGTCTGAAAGTGACCTTGATGATTTGTTTCAGTTTAAAATCTCTACATGTGCCTCCATGCTAAATGAAGCAGGAATTTAACATAGTCTACAAGTGCATACATTGAAATAAACTTGGGTGTATGATGGGATTTTTCCATATCATCCTGTCTTGTAAATGTAAAATCCATGTGGTTTTGTCTCTCTCAGCTCTTAATCTGTCTGCAGACTGAGGCTAACTGGTTAATGCAGCTCGTGACAGCAGGGGGGACGCTCCGAGACGTTTCTCCTCTCCACCCAGCAAGAGCTTCCATGGCTTCTTTGGGATTGATGGGAGACAGGTCGTAGATGCAGTAGATGGCTGCTAACTGGACCTCCCATGGCACACCTGGGGAGAGGAAACATGGCCACATTTGAATACAAATACATGTAGTATTTAGTTTCTAGTTTATTCAGCATACATTTTCAATATAAACATGCAAATATATGTTCATATTCCAAGCTAAGATGTTGGAATCTGCTTAAATAAACAGGCCATTGTGTTCATGCATATACACACTTTTTTTTTTTTAAATGTGATTAATGAAAGGCAGGTGTGGGAGAAGTTGGCAGCACTCTTGGCACACAGCAGAGGTTCTGTATCAAATAGAGCTGGGCTGAATCACTCTCTATTTACCAAGGTTTTTTATATTTCTAACCTTCACCGTGTCCATGCCTTCCAAACGTGTTGATGACGCTGGCCACCGTTGTAACAGAGGAAACATTCCTCTCTCTGATTCCCAGCTGACTGAGGCGCCCTGAAAAAACAAAAAACACAACAAATTCAAATACAACTGCAAAAATGACTGAACACTCAAGATTAGTTAACGCACAGGTAAATGAAGAACAACAACTGACCTATGAGTCGAAGTACAGTGGCAACAGTCACATCAGAGACAGGTGCTTGTTGATCTCTGGGCTGAGTCACCCACATGTTCATTAACGGCCACAGCTCCTTGCTACCAAAACAAAAATGAACAGATTAAAGTGAGCGTTCGCTTCACAATGGATTAGTCCTTTAATGGAGTTTTACAAGATTACTGATATCTTGTTTGGAAGTCTTTGAACAGGACAAACGTACGAACATACCCTAATACATTCTCATAGGTCCACTTCCACATCTTGTGTGTACAAAGGAGGTGCAGGGTGAAGACTTGTTCCCATGCCTCAGTCCGCAGGTCCATCCCGTGTCGACCGTGTTCAGTGAAAGACGGGCTTGACCCTGACCGAATATCAGACAGCGTTCTGGAGATCAGCTCGTCAATATCACATGGAGGACTCTGCATTGGTAGACAGATTTAGTTTTACAATGCAGCAATGATTTGATTGGTTAAAAAAAAAAAAAAAGGCCAGAGATGGTAAGGTCGGGAAAGACAAGATGATGTGATCAAAACAAGGATCACACTTAAAGGCTTTATATGTGATCTTTCACACTTAAATATAATAGAAATCAAGTTTTTCCTCTGAAAATAACTCTGTGAGTCATGACTGTTTACAATGGGTGTAACACCCGAGTCCCACTGTCTGTGATGTTTTCAGAGTTTTCAGAGTCCTATCTTCAGTTTGTTTACATCGCCAGGACGGCAGCTGACTCCTCCCCTCGAGTATAAAAGTTGTTTAATTGAGGGACTAGAGAAAAGAAGAATAACATACTGTACTCACTGCTTAACTGTGTTTCTAGATCACGCTCATTTCAGGTCAATTTACATGCAGTGTGAAGATACGAGCATAATAAAGATCGCATTAGCATTAGCATGCGATCAAAAAATCACATATAAAGCCTTTAAAAATGAGCAAGTGTTCAAAACAAACTTTGTATTGACTATTCACTTCAGGGTTTCATTTAAAGGACATTAAAAAGTAATGGGTTTCATCAGTCAATCAATAACTCTCTAAAGTACTTCACCTTGTCCCAACAGAGGAATGCTGAAAGGCAGCTGAGGAGGTTTTCTTGTGCTTTCAGTTTGGTGACAGCATGTATTGCCTGGCACAGAGAACTGCTGTGTGACAGAACACTGGGCCACGTAGTCACCATGAACAAAATCAGCATAGCAGCATCTGGAAAATCTGCAGTAAGGAAGACACAGTAAAAAGCAATAAATCACATTGGAGTCTGAGCTCCCGTGTGCCACCTAGTGCGTGCCACCATCTTTTCTCACATACAAAACATGCAAAAAGATACGGAGCAGTGTCGCTAGGGCTGGGAAATATATCGAGTTTTTAAGATATATCGATATATTTTCAAACAAGATAAAGGGTAAGACAATATCTTTAATATGGATATAGTTTATGTTGCATTAAAATAATGTCATAGAGGTGCCAGGTCACCTTTTTCTCATCTCACTGATGATGACTGACTGTCTCTTTTATTGTATTTAAGGAACATTTTTATTTTATAATATTACTTTTTAAATTCACAAACAGGTAGTTTATTTTACATGTGTTTTCACTGTTAATAAAATACATAGAGTATCGCCATTCAGCTAAACAATATCAAGATATGAGTTTTGGTCCATATCGCCCAGCCCGATAGTGTCGGTCATACAGCGGCTGTTGTCAACAGTCTGTTGTCATAGAGACAGGAGGGATTTGCAGCGTTTTCCTCAGCGCAGAAACGCTTCATGCTAACACTCGTGAGTGTACAGCCAGCGCTTTTCTGCCCGCAAACAATCGCTAGGTGGACACGGGGCCTAAGGTAACCAAAAAACGATTTATTTGTTCACAATAACTTCAAATACCTGTATGCAGTGTATCAAGTGTTTGTGAAGTCTTTAAAAAAAAAAAAAACAGAATGGGATGAATGGTTTACCTTCTGCCAGAATGCTGTAAGCCAGGATGTGAGACTTCTCCCAGTCTCTCTTTTGTCTACAGATCCCCGTGTGGACTCTGCACAGAGCCTGCATGTAGTTTGTGCTCAGATCTCTTTTCTCTGATTTCAGTTTGTTCAGGATGGCCAGAATCACATCATCTGCATTAATCTGAAGAGAAAATCCACCAAAGAGTCATACTAGTTCCATCACAAGGACACAGACACAAAACAACAAGCTTCTTCTTAAATCCCACTGCTTGGGATTTGTCTTTTGTATATACAAGTAGCATGCTTTTTTTTTTTATCTGAACCATTGCTGATACAATAACACCATTACCTCCTTAACCCAGAAAAGGCAGCCCTGCTATATATCTCTCTTGTTTCTTTATTTAACAATAGCAGAAAAAAGGCTGGATAGAACAAAAATGCTTAGCGGGATAGAGCTACTTCTTTGAATAAGAATTATAATTCATAAACAAACTTTGTAGTAATACAATGTACGGCTGTAGAGATATTTCTAGCGATACACAATGTATGTAACAAACAGGTGTGGGCAGTTTTCTTCAATCATGATGGACTGTGAAAACAAACTAGACTTCACTTTCTATTTTGCCTACAAGTAATGTAATCAGGGGATTTGTTGGCAGGCACTCAAAGTATTTATAGTAGAGTTCCAACAAAAACAATGTGGGATGCTTATTTCACAGTCAAGTTGAATTTAGTTATGTAGATAAGAAATATGGCATTCATTTAATACAAGAAATGCCTGTATCTCTATATATAACATGCTGAAACACAGCGATGAAAAGTGATCAGAAGGTCGGAATTAGGTGTTGAAAAGCGAAGATTGAATGTATGAAACATAATCCACAAAAACAAGCTGACTCACCAAGCAGCTTTGGCAGATCTCAGCGATGACCTCCTTCTCCTCTTCTCTTAGGACAGGCTTCTTGGGCAGATTACCGACGTACAGGTGGCTCTGGATCACAGGCAGCAGATCAAAACACTGCTTTTCGATTTTCTTTAAATAAGTATCTATAAGATCTGTCCCTGTCGGCGCCCCGCTCTCCATGGTTGGAGAAGCTGCCTCGTTTCGGAGCTGTTTTAGCCTCAGAGTCTGAGGTGAGCCGGTGTCCTCTCCACTGTTCGAGGAGGCAGAAGGTACCTGCTGTCGACTGACAGTGGGAGAGCAGTTATCCAACCTGAGACATTTCCTGTTTTTGGGTCGAGGCGGACTGTCCGCCCGTCGCTTTTCTCCTTTCGTCTCAGTCTTGGTGAAGGCTGTTGAGGTGGAGTTTATCGTTTTAAAGCCTGACATCTGACTCACAGTGGTTGAAGGTGATGTTCCACTGTCTGACGAACACATGCTGAGACCGACATTTCCTCTGAGGATGCTCAGAGTGCGGGCGTGGGCAGACAGATCTGGATACATGGTATCAAGGATCCTCATGGAGTTTTCCTGAGATGGACTGGAGGAAGGAGTCATGGAAGAATTCATGGCTGTCCTGGGCAGGCGACCTGGTACAGGTACAGCATGCTTTGGAGTGGCAGAGCCGAACTGAAGGGGCGATGAGGGGACGCCGTTTGAACGTACTGGACTGTTCAGAGATGAGGAACTCTGCTGCCGACTGTCGGGTGTCAACTGGGTCTGGACTGGAGTGGTAGGTGAAGCCAGTCTATCCAGGGGTGAGGGGAACAGAAGTTTCCCAATGGCCTGCCTTGGATTGATTGATTTCCCTGCCTTTGGAGGAGTGCTCAGAGGGGTTAGGACAGGAGGAAGAGGAGGTCCCATTTTAGCTAAAAATTGGCCTAGAAATTCAGGCGGTTGATCTGCAGTTGAATCTGCCACTGAACAAGGCTGTTCCTCTGACTCCAAACACTGAATTTGTCCTTTTGCACTTTGTTTGAATGAGGCAGTAGGACTAACAGCGCCCAGTTTACATTCACTCACTTTATGGATACTTGCATCAATGTCGTCCTCAGGCGACTCTTGGGCATTTGCCTTTTTAATAGCACTCTCTTTCTCACTTCTGGGCACAAGCTGTGGAGTTTTCTTGTTTATTGAAACGTGTTCCATGTTCACACCAACATCCAATTGTTCTGGGTTTTGGCAAGTTTCCAAGGCTTGTAATTTGCCAGTGGGAAACAAACATGAAGGACTCGACGCCCTGCACACAGAATGAGTGTTTTCTTTCAAAGAGTCACAGTTCACAGTCTTTGTCTCTTCATGGGCAGAAAGGGAGAGTCCATTATCTGCTAGTTTAGTGTCCAATGTCTCAAAGTTTGCATCCTTGTTTGAAGGATTTGCTTGACCAGATTTTCCATCCTGATCGCACTCGTCATTTTCAATCTCCAACAGTGAAGACTCGCAATGAAATGGAAGTTTCATATTTCCATTTGCTGTTACGTCGACGTTCTTTCCCTGCACTTCTGTCCCATCTTCATCTGCTGGTAGTTTTATGGATACACCATTACCAAGCTCCTCTTCACCATCTTTACAAGAGACACTGCTCCTGATTGACAAACACCTCTCCTCGACGTCTGTGTCTTCACCAAGACACTCAGTATTCTTTCCTTCTCCCTCAGGTATGACAGCTAGATCTATTTTTCTGGGTGACTCTCCACCATCTGCAGTCTTTGACGGATCGTGCTTTGCACTGTTCGTTTTTGAGTTGTCTAGATTTTCCATGCAGGATGACTTTTGACTTTCGGTATTTGAAGGCATACACTCAACAATAACTGGTGTGGAAGAAGCACATGATGCTGATGCAGATACTAATAGATCAGTTGTTAACTCCTGATCAGAATGCGTTGCTTTTTCAAGCTGCATTTCTTCATCATCTGCACTTCTCATGTCCTTCATTTCAGCGTCGACACTTGGAAACTTTTGTACCAAGTCTTTAGAGAAGTTGTCATTGGACATTTGTTCTGCTTCCTGTGCCATGACCACTGGCAAGTCCACATTCTTCTCTGTTGGTACAACAGAAGATTTTGTCGACAGGCTTGAGACCGACGTTGTGATGAGCGAGGACTTCTCTCGTCGCAGATGAACGGAGTTATGAGAATGTTTGGTGTTTTCTTTTTCTCCGTCGCCTGTCTCCATAGATTCTGACTCAGCGCCCTGGCAGAAAGAAGCAAAAGAAGAAGCAGATTGATCAGAAAAAAAGAAACATATAAGAGCTGAATTAACTAAATGACAGGTGCCTTGTGGGTACAAACTTGTGCTTTGCTACATTTCCGAGACATATTTCCCATGTATAGTCAGAAGCATGCTTAAACTTATGCTATACAACAAAAATCTAAATTATCATAATTTCATTCAGATAATTTACAAATACAATCAAATAACGTTTAAATATTATGAGATAAACATAATTTTCTACTATTATTATTTTCTTTAAATATAACAGAATTCTTACCGAATCTGGTAGTGGTGAGATGCAGGGAAGTATTGGTTTGAACAACGACAGTATCTCTTCAGCAGATACTGTGGAGCTGCCAAAGTCGGAGGATGACTCCTCAGGTTTGCGCTCCTCTGACAATCGCTTGCTCTTTTTGGGCGCGTCTGTTTTCTTCCTGGACCTTGTTGACTGCAGACATGCTGGACCCTTGACGGCGTTCTGTCGTAGTGGAGAAGGTTTGATCTGTGTAAAAGGGGCATTTGTCTGAACGGAGTGACAGTGGGATTCTCTGATCTTGTGAGGAGATGGGGACGTCTTTTTCAAATGACAGTGAAGACTGTTTTTCGGAGAGGAGGGTAAAACTGGATTGGAACAGGGCTCTGAAAATAAAAGAATAATAAGTTAACTGGAGACATTCAGAAACCTGGAATATTTTTTAGAAGCACAAAGACAAATGAATAACCAGGACTGTCAATACACAGACACAAGCTGAGTGAGGACTCACCAGGGAAGTGCAACATGTTTGTAGTGTTTTCCTGCTGAGGTTCTACACAGGCCCACACATTCTCCAACAGCATCCGGATCTTTTCTGGAAAACAAAACAAAACAGACAAACATTCAAACAATGCATAAGTGAGGCCCAGTGTCAACCTAGCAGTGACTTTTTTTAATAATCGTTATTAAATGAAGAGAAAGCGTTTGCAGCAGCAGCTGGTCGTTCAGAGAAAAAGCGCAGCGCCCAGCGTCTTTTTTCTGAAGGTTCCACATTCTCATGCAGATGCTTTCGAGTGCTTTGAGGTGAAAATCTTTCAACTTTTTAGAAAGGAGCTATTGACACGACTGGTCCTTTTTAAAATACTCGATAATGGCCGTATGTTTTTTGTCTCTTACGGCTCGTGCCCTGTCCCCTGTTCTCCTTGCTCTGTGTCCGAAGCAGGAGGGCAAAGATCTTTTGTTTGATGCTTATAGTGAAGGGGAAAAAAACAATCTCAAATATCAGCGCAACGGAGCAGAGACAACAGGCATGTGAAGCACTTTTATTCTCAGAGCACAAGCGCTTCATCAGAGCGCTCTACAGCGCACAGTCAGGGCTTTTCTGCCCCAAAACAAGGCTAAGTGAACACAGAGTACTAAATAACAGTAAACTGGAGTCTGGATAAAGTGCATTTAATCAGCCAATCCATTCCCTTTTTTTTTTTTTTTTTTAAATAAATAATATGTGTAGCAACCTACATACCTTTGTTAACTTTCGGCTCTCCAGGTACACTTGCTTGAGTTGATGTGCTCCTAAAGTCTTGTGAATAAACATAAAGAAAAATATGATTAAGAGTCTTAATGTCACAAAACTGAGCAGAGATTACTTAAAATAAATACATAAAAAAAGAACATGTATATACATTTTTCTCTCAATAATAAGTATTCATTGTGACACTCTGTTAGTAAATGAAGCTGCTCCTTAGTTACCTTTAATCCTCTCTCTTTCCAGTTTGATCAGCCTGGCCTGTAGATACATTTAAATGAAACACAAAGAAAGGTCAATAAAACAGTACCAAAGATTTGACCGACAATGTGCTGTTCATAAAGATAAATACTGTACCTGGAGGTCATCAATGTTTCTTTCCAGCAGGATCTTCTCTTTAGTCAGTTGGGATATTTGTTGGTTTTGTTTGCAAATGAAGTCTGAAATAAAGACAGATATAAATGATATATAACTCCCCCATCAGACAAAGGTAAGAGACACATAACAACAATGCAGAACGTTAGCTGTTTGAAATAAGACAGTTCACACCAACCTTCAAACTGTTTCACTTTAGTTTCAAGGTTTTCCTTTCTGTTGATGAGAAAACAACGTGGAACATTAAAACATATTACTTTACAGCGATTCTCCAAAAGATCACCAACAAACCAAATATAATGTTGCACAAATAATATAAGTGTCATAACACACACAAAAACACACACCATGACAGGAAAAGCCAGTCCTTCATTCTCAATTAAACACACAACACCTCTAAAGCAGGTTTCACTTCTTACATGCGTGTTGTCTTGGCGTTCTCCTCCATCAAATTTTCAAGTTGTTCTGCCTTTGCCTGAGACTTCATCAAAGACGCCTGGAGAAGTCAAACACAAATGTAAATGATATCAGACATGAATGAAGCCTTTTGAGTACAATAGTCCACTAACTGTAAGAAAATGACTGAAGAGTATTTGGAGACAAACGATTGGCTTACCTGTACTTTCAGCAAATCATTTTCTACAAAAGCCTTTTCCCTCTTCAGCTTTGCGCTTTCAAGTGACTGTGTTTCTGTCAGTTCAAAGAGTTTAAAAGACAAATCATTATTTTTAAAAAAAGGGTGCATTTTATGTATTTTAAACACGTTTTCATTTATAAATCAATGTCAAGTAAGGACATCTAAATTGAAATTACCTTCCACTTCATGTAGCTGGTTTTGAAGCTTCTTATTCCTGAGCGGATTCAATAAGAGATGTCATTAATTTACCACAATGATTACACAATGACAATACAATTCATATAATTCAGGTCTTACTCTTCCACCGTTCTGCTGTTTTCCTGCTTCAATGTTTCCATCTCTTCAGACATCTGTCCATAAGCCTTAAGAGCACCCTTCAAATAGAAAAACAGCGGGAGTTAAGTCAAGTCATGTCATATTTATTTATAAAAGCACATTTAAAAACAGCTACAGCTGACCAAAGTGCTGTACAATGCATTAAAAAAGAAAAAGAAACAACTTCAGATCACAACGTCTACAAGAGAGAAATATATATATGTATACATATATAAAGAAAGAATATATAAAGAAAGCAACAAAGGAAACTGAAAGAAATGGTCTATTCAGGACCAGGGGACTCAAATGCTAACATGTAAAAATGTATGTCTAGAGGCGGGACTTAAAAGAGTCAACAGAGGGTGCAGACCTGATTGACAGAGGGTAAGATAACAGAAGAAACTGAAAACAAACAAAGAGAAAAACAAGAGTGACAGAGAAAGGGCATACCTTCTTTTCCTCCAGTTGTGCTTGCAAGGATTCATAATCTGCTGTCTTTTTCTCCAGAGACAATAATTTGATCTGCAGCTCCTCCAGCTGTTGTTGAAGCCTGATTGCGTCACTGCATCAAACATCAACCGGAAGTAAACATGAGTACATGCCCTATCAATAACTGTAACTATCAATCTAACTCAACCTGTGTAGCTTTGTGACCAGATATGACTGTGATGTGTAACCATGGTTACAGATCGTCCTTCAGTACTCACTCTGAAACCGCTATCCTCTGTTTCAGCGCCAGAAAAGACGACACATATTCATTCAGGCTCTGTCAAAGACAAACGAGGAAACAACACATAAACAAACATTTTAATTGAAAATTACAAACATTTTCAATTTCGCTGATAAGATAAAAACATGTGAATTTTGAAACAACAGGCATACGCAGTTGAATTCAGTCCAAAAACATGACATGCTGTGTCAGATGAACAGTCTGACCTGGTGCAGAAGAGAGCACTTCTGACAGTTTCCGATCGTCGCTTCCGCGGCTAAAGCCAGCGCTTTGGACTGACTTTCCCCTGGCATCATGGTAAAACAGACTCAGAGATCTGTACAAGCCCAACTTTTATAACTTAAAACAATAACAAACACACCGAAATCGTTCACACAAATTCCCACAGAAGTTCAAAACAACTTCACATTTTCGCTTCTCCCACGTTGGCGAAGGACCCAGCCAGGACCCCACTGAGGTGCTTCTTGAAAAGCCGGTTAAGAATCCCTCTACGTGGTAATCACGATCAAATTCTGACACGTATTCAACTGAATATGAGTGTGGCTGGTTTTGAGGAGTTTATCTTTATTTTTTATTTTTTGGAGGACTAAAATTATGTTGACCATTCAAATGATTTTTCTTCAGGCAGTGCCGGCCTACTCTGGTTTAAGGGGGCGTTAATGTGAGGCGCTCCAACCCTCAGCGTGTATTGATTGTTTGTAAACAGTCTATAATATTATTGACCAGCAGTGGAGTGTAACTGCTCTTATGCAGACTAAAAACTAACTATAGCCTAATAATTCACATTTAGGCATATATTATAGACTGAGTTTTAAAACACCTCAAATAGACGGCATAACATCAGTCACAACATGTAACCAAGGTGAGTAGCTGGCACCGTACACCACGTCATCATGAGACATACTTGCAGTAATATAAAAAAATATTTCGAAAGTTAAAGTGTGCTCCCTGGTGGTCTAGTGGTTAGGATTCGGCGCTCTCACCGCCGCGGCCCGGGTTCGATTCCCGGTCAGGGAACTTCCTTTTTTGATGCTCGACCGAAGTTTATGTCGCACATGCAGATATATACCATCACGATCTCCAAGTGGGATTTGCAATTAATTTTAAATAAATAAAGTCCGGCGTGCGATTTTCAAAACAATAGACAAAGAGAAGTAAAACACTCACCAGCTATAAGTGGAAGAGGAAATGTTCGCGTTTTATATCTGGAAATAATCAGCAGAGGGTGCCGTTGTACAGATAACATTCTGCCTTTCTCTCTCTCTCTCTCTCTCTCACACACACACACACACACACACACACACACACACATACACACACAAATCCTGCTACTCCTTCCCCTTAGGTTTATTACTACACATAGGCTGCAAAAAAATTGGAACGTGAATTTCCAGTTTAATGTATAACAAACTAAACAAACAAACAAAAAACAGAATCATTTTAAAGTAAACAATTTAAAAGTCATAACAATCTTTTAGGATAAATAAATAAATCTGAAGCTCTAATGAGTTAGATTTGAGTTGCACTATAATGGTCCTTGGCAGAAGTTCTTCTGCAGCTTTGGGATTCCAACAGCTGAGAGGAAGTAAGAAAAGGTGCTGCAGCTTGCTGTAGGTACATCCTGATGGAAAGATAATAACTCTGTAACTTCAGATGAACTGTCTGAGCGTGGCCTCGAGGCTTAAGAGCCAACACTCTTGAAAAACAGATTCAATCAGAGATAGCATAGTTTCTTTAAAAGTGGAAACAGGGGAGTGTTGGGCATGCTTTCTCACTTCCTGTCTCTCTCTGACAGATCACCTCTTCTGTTACCTGACATGGGTGAGGTCACACTTCAGATGGAACCATTGGTCTCAATCACTTTTGTCATCTACAGAAAGTCTTTGTCTGATCGCTATCTTTGTATAAACCAAAGTGCTTCATCCTCACAATCCTTTTCTTCTTGTGTGGTTGGATTTACTCAAATTTTTCTTTGTCAAGCTGCTGAAGCAAATCATGCAGAGTGAGGGGAGATTTTGCTGACAAAACAGTGAAACATTTCAATCAGTCATTTTCATAGCCGACTGATTTTTTTTTTCACATTCCATTTTGAAGAAAGCATCAACCTCACTGCTCACACTTTCATATTTAGATAATGTTTATGTTAAAGTTACATGTTTACAAGATTTCTATCTTCTTATCTGTTGAATTTGACTTGATATGGGTTTAAAGTGACTAGAACTTGGGGGGTTAGATAAATGTGTGTATGTTTGCTGTTTGTCCTTTAATTTAATTTCCAGCAAACTGGCATTAAGTAATGAAAACAGTTCTGATCACCTTGTAGACACTTTCTTGGGATTAAAACAATAACAACTTCTGCCCTGGCCGACACTCATACTGTAATACAGCATGTACACATAAGACACACTGTTAGACAGTGCCCACAGCTGACCAACAATAAATCAACTACAGAGAGGTGGTTGACGAGGAGGAAAACCCCTTTCTCTCTCTATACACACCTCTCTCTTTCTCAGAGCATTTTTCTATGACAGCACCGGCCTCACTCCTCCCCCCTTTCTTTTCCTTCTCCTCTCCTCCCTCTGATTCTCTGTAGGCCTGAAGGCTGTGCCTCTGGGATTATGACAATGGGGATCTTGTTTGGGGCATCTGTGTCTCCTTGACTTGTTGAGAAATGACTAAAGAGTAAATCCCAGACACAGTATGTCATAGGTGTTGAAATGGCTAATACCATATTGGCATTACAGTTAGTCAAGGCACTGGCTTATGTGTTGCGTTATATTGCATACTGAAGACTAGAGCTTTGTTCTGGGCTACATGGTTATTTCCAGAGGTGTGTACCATGCACTGACTGAATGCACTGCACTGCTGTGTGAGTGTGTGCTGCGCAACCAATCAGATGTGATGACAGTGAAGCATCAGGAGGAGTGAGGTGACAGTGTTCAGAGCAAGAACAGAGACGAGAGGAGCCACCGGCGAACAGCAGGTGAGGAGAAGATGAGGGACTGTCGCAAAGTTTTGAACTCGGGACTTGACTCGGGACTTGTCTGTCTTTACTTGAGACCAAAGACTTGAGACTTACTCGTGACTTGCAAAAACAATGACTTTGTCCCACCTCTGCTTATGATGATGGATTTTATGAGTACATTTTTATATACATCACTAGACCATTTGCACTGTGCCTAGTATTTGGAAATGGTGACTGCAGGTTAAAATATTCTAAACTAGCTAGTAGCAGGGCTTGAATGAAACCTAGTTCAGCCTGCACAAGCTTCAGTAACTCTTGATGTTGAATCCTTGAATTTTCTTGATTTACCACGATCACTTCTGTATTGTTTCTGTATGTTGATAACTCATTTGGGCTTTAATGACAGCATGCTTAAGACTTCAGCCAAAAAAAGTACGAGTAAAGGAATCAGGTATCTTCCCGAGTTTTCTTTTTAGCTTTTATTTTACATTTGCAAATATGAAGTTAGTTTTAAAATTGTCACACTAATTCACTCAATAACTCAGCTAAAAGAATGAATTCAGGACAGGACACAGCTGAGATGCTGACATGACACACAGTTGTTTATTGTTTTTCACTTACACAGTACAAATCACATTGGAGTAGCATTAGCCATCATCTTTCATTGCTTTGAATCCTTAACCAATAAATACTGCATTATTTTTGTGCCATCTCAATGCTTTAACATGACGAGTGTGATAATGTAGGACCATGAAACCTGACAGTGGAGCGGTGACTCTTCAACCATCATGCTCATACTTCAGTCATTGGTGAAGATGTAAATAAAACTTCAGTCACTGTTAATATTGCTAAATTGTACTTTTGACATCACATGATTTTCGTATTTAGAAATAAAACAAACGTTTTAAATGAAAACGGGTGCGTTTCGTCAGCATGAAATCCTATGAAAAAAGTACAAAATATAAAGGTAATGAGCTTAGGGTAGCATATTAAAAGGACACAATTATACTGCTTATTAATACAGTCTTTCAGCAAAGCTGTATTGTAAAGCCAATAAATAAAACAAACAATACTGTACACTGGTCACACAATGCATTTGTTCTTTCCTGAAACTTGTGATTTCACATTGTTGATGTGACACAAGACGACATAGCACCACTGAGTATGAAAGTCAGTTCACACCGCCATGACCCGTTCTCTTGTTCGACGCATTTTATTTTCTTTCGTTTTTTTTCTTCTCTTTTACAAAACAAAGCCAAGCTTCCTGTTATTGTCCCGCTATCAAAGAATCCCACTTTGATTATTCCAGGGCTGTTTTTCATCAAGACGTCTATTAAAACTTATATTGCCTTATTCACTCCTTTGAAATCCATTTTAATTACCCAACTTCGGATTTCTAATTGATTAGAATTTGCAGTGCAGAACATGGCGTATTATGTGTTGTAGCTTGGCAATGCCTGAAACATCGTTAAGCATTTTGTTTTTTATCTTGGCCCACCATCTTTAGCCTTTGGTTGAATGGAAGAAGTTTAGTGTCATGGGCACAGACATGTTTCATTACAAACAGTATAGAAACAAAACTGGGGTTTTTCAGGTTTTCCATTTCTCTTGGAAATGTCAGACCTCTTCGCTTTAATCAAGATCCCCATTACACCCGTTCTTCCTCATATGTCTCTCCTGTAATTGTACTGTCCTGATCACATTCTTTTGTAGTGCTGTCAGCATCATGTTCTTGTATCCAGATGTCCGGCATCGCATGGAGAAGAAAGGGTACTGCAACTTTCTTTTCTTTTTTTTTTTTGCACTTCCATAGAAATGTCATTTGTTCTTCAGTGCTCGCCACACGCTTAAAGCAGAAACGCTGTCTTTTCAAGCCCGGGCTTCAAACAATGTCTTATGTCTATCTAACTGCCTCTCTGTCTGTGCCACAGACAGACTCAACCTGTGTGCTTACAGGTTTGAATTTGAGCAGGATTGGCAGCACTGCTTGCCGTAGAACTTGTGGTTGCAGACTCCATGCTGGGGCACCAGGTAACACCAGTTGAAGTAATCCCTACAGGCAACATCTGCAGAAAACAAGAGAGAAGGAATGACTTGAATTATAGACAATAGATTATACCAAGCTCAGTTTTGTGTACAGTAGCAATAAGGTAGTACTAAATAGTATCAGAGCTTGAGTACCTTTCTTCTCAGGCTGTGGGCAGAAGTTGGTGTTGCAGGCCTGGGACATGGAGGGTTTAAGGTGGAGAGCACAGCCTGGAGAGGGCTTCCCTTGGACCAGACATTGGACAGTCCTGGCCTGCACTCCTCCTCCACATGTCACTGTGCACTGTAGAGTAAAAAATTAACAAAACTTTAATGATGAGCACTATGAATCTCTTAAATCAAGCATTCCCTGTCCATCCCCATTTTCCAAATGATGTTGATTCTACAAAGTAGCAACAACCAAAGCAGAAATAACATGGAGTGGAAGTCAGTGCTCCTTGCAGTATTCAACTATCTTGCTCTGAGGTAATGTACCTGAGACCAAGGGGATGAGTGCCACTCTGGCTGAGATGGAGGTTGAGGGAGGGGTTGAGGTGGATAGGTGCGATGATGTGTGCTCCATCGGTGGATTGGTGGAGTCGTGCGGACGGGGCACTCGGGCAGAAAGCAGGACCGCTGGAGCTCCACTGTGGGTTTGGGGACATGGTGGCACTTCTTGGCAGCAAGCTCTCTGTATTTTCCCGCAGTGTCCTTTATAATATAAATAAAGAATACTTTTAGATGCCATTACAGGCTAAAAAACCTCAACAGAGTAAAGCAAACAAAACATATCCACATTGAACTGGTGGAGATTAAAATAGAAACTTAAAGCAATGAATTGTTGCATTTATGATGATATAAAACTATCTATTTAATAACTATGAACTTCCAAGCACGGTTACTTGAGTTAACTTTGATATTCAATACACACCTTTTCTGCACACTTGATGAAGCGTGCCTGATAACCACGACCACATGTAACTGAGCACTGAACGATCAAAGAGGGAAGGAACATACAGGAAATTGAGAGAGAAAAGTAAGTTACGTTGCCCAAAGAAAATACATCCTACATTAGTCAGATGTTCTTTGGAAAAAAAAAACAGAACTTGAATTACCTCTTGCCATGTGGAGACAAACCACTGGACTTTGCGTTGTTTCTGGCAGCGTTTGATGAAACAGGATTCTTGACTTGCAGGTTTCTGCAGGCCTGCACACACGCTGTCTGCCATTGTTTGTTTCTGGGCACCTGGGTTGGTGCTTGTACACAACACTGTCCTCTTCTTCAGGCCGTTGCCACACTTACGAGAACACTGCCAAAAACAGAAACATGAACATTTTGATATTTCATGTTCTTTGATGCTTAATCTTTCTCATTATGCCTGGTAGAGGAAAATTCTTCAGGTATATTAGTTGTACACAAATCTCTTCAGAGTTAGCTTGTCCACCTTATTTCTCCTTGAACGACTGATTAAAGTTAACACCGTTTGACATAACAAAGCTGTTACATGACTTCTGCTGAGAAAAAAATGTCAAAGGTCAATTATCTTAACTTTGCACAGGAAGCATTTCAGCACCATATTTTCAAATCCTCCACACAGTCACTTATTGTGCTTTGCGTCTTTAATAATTCATTTGAGGTATAGTCCAACAACTCCCTGAATATTCATTCTGATCCCGGGCAAAATCTTATGGCACAGCCTGAATCAAAACCTTGAAGGTGTTGCTCTACAGCCAAGAAACCAGAGCTGTGACGCACTTCACCGGGCCTCAGAGTCACAGAGAGGAAGTCAACTGGACACCATTTGTGGCAGGTAGTAAAGGATATTTGGGGTGAAATGGCAGTTAAATAAGTTTAACAGTGCGACAAGTCACCAGGCACAACGTATGGGGATTGGACAGAGAACAGAACACGAGGTCTCATGGGTACATTCAGAGTTTAAAGCCGCTGAGATCAGAGTCATAAAATGTGGTGAAGCCATCAATGCTCGAGTTCACTGAACAACACTGTGTGAAGTTCTTTATGCTGAGTGCAAGTGTGTGACTTTGAAGTGAATTACTACCAGTCCCTTCAGGATCTCACAGGCTTTTTCTGTGATTGTGACAGCCTAAAATGCTTCATTTAGTAGCAGCTTTTGAAAAATAAATTGTAAAAGCATATTGGGAGGCTTTTCTGTATAATGCATTACATATCCTCTGTGTGGACCTTGGACATTCCTATAATACCATCTGTCGGCTGAGCAAGCTCTCTGTGTTCTGATAACACTACCAGTCGATTTCTGAGTCAAGATAACAAATAGAATGAGTGAAAAGTGAATGAAACTAAAGTGAACAGCCATGGAATGTCTCATCTCTTACTGTGTACGCACATTGCAATGATACCCACATGCCCTGTTATCATTTTTTTTCCCATTATTTACTTCATTTATGCAGTTTAGGTTGATGCTGACACACACATCGTTAACTAAGTCTGTGGTGGAACGTTTGCTACTTTGGGCAAAGATAGTAACTTTGATTGGTCAAAAAGACATTGGAAAGTGGCCAAGTGGACGGCTTATAGCTGACAAAACTGAAACATTGTAAAAATCTCTATTAGACACTCAGGATTGTATTTTTTTTGTAGGTTGGCTGTTCAATGTTTTAAAAGGTTTCACAGAATGCAAAAGAATTTGAGTTTGTGTTGATGGTTGCAATCTCAATTTCCTGGAGGCACAGAACTTCAACAGCTGTATGTCTTTACTACCATCCCTCAGTGTGGGCACAATGAGAGTTTTCCTGATCTGCCACTGCTTTACTTCCACACATGCTCACCTGTGACCACGGCCCACTGGTCCAAACTGGGGGACAGCTGTGCGTGTTGCAGGCTTGCCTCCTGGCAGGAACGGGCTGAGCGCAGTGAGAGTCGGCCAGGGCGTCTACGTTGGTTTGGCTGGTTCTCTGGTCACACTGGACCTGCCGCGTCTGCGCCCCTCCTCCACAGCTCCGGCTGCACACCCCCCACTCTCCTACAGACCAGCTGGGACAACACAACACAAGGCCGCTGAGTCAACATGCACGACTCCTCAATCACTTTTTCAGACAGGCCTGTGGGAATCCACAAATGACATGATCACCGTACAAAGATAACACTTATAGAGGAGACCCTGTGTTGTACAGAGATGGGAAGAAACAAATTACAGTTACTTTACTGAAGTAGAGTTTTCAGGTCTCTGTCATAGTTTTTTGACAACTTCTAACTCTTAACACCTGCATTTAAACACACTCAACTTCCTACAGTTTTTATATTCAAAACACTGAGGTGAAAAGAATGCATGTATATTTGCCAGATGCGGTGTAGCCTGAATTTTGTTTCTTGTTATTTTCAGTACCAAAACCCATTTTTAATAAGAACGTCCTTGGCAGATTGATACCAGTGATGTGTATAATACACAGATTTAATTATTAGCATCTGTCTCAGTTTCCAAATATAAGGGTTTTGATATTGCTGACCAAAGAGAAGTTTGGTTGTTCAGACCCAAGTCCCCATGGTGGTCATGGCTGCCTGGCTTCAGATCAAGTCAGGACAGCCGTTGTACTTTTAAACTGTAACTTAGGCCCTCATCAGCACTAACACTAAAAACCACCAGATATTTAATTCATCATTTATGGATTGTTGAACATGTCAGACAGATCCAGCATTATTAAGCCCCTGACCTGGGTCTTAGAGACACAGTCCCTCGACTGAAGAGTGCTCAGTTCAGTTGTTATATTATTAGGGCATTTTCCAACACAGCCCCCCCCCAGTACACCACATGTCTAAATCCCCAAGCCTCCTATTCTTTCTTCTATCATCCACAAAGCTTCATTGCATCAATCCTTTGTTACCCCAAACACAAGATACAGGCAACTCCAGCCTTCATCACATCCTCTCCCAAAAATGCCATTCCAGCCTCATCTACCCCAAACAATCCCAAAACAACACTGTCAGCATGTAGAGTTGTATATATGAACATGCTAAACTGTATTTGTATTAATTAGCTGCACCCCTCCCTTGGAATCTTGTTTAAAGAGTACATCTTTAAATGACAATATACAAGTAATCAGATCTAAGTAAATATTATGAATGGATACATTCCATCTGCGTTATTGTTTGTCAGGATGTAGATACACTCTATTGCATCAAGGGAAGATTTGAGGGGAACTTGAAAAACATAAAAATGCAACAATGCAAGACGGTAACCCAATGCACAAGTAAATGCTAGCACAAGACCAACTATAGCAAATGTTTGGATTTACATGAAGATCTGAGACATGTTTTGAGACATTAGGCCTGCATAATTGTTAACGTGTGGTAGCTTATATTATGGATTGGTGATGTAGGAACATTTAACAGCTTGCTACATCATAATATCACACTGCTGGCATACTGATTCAAATCTTACTTTGGCCCTCTTACACCACCACGTCACATCTTGGGTATCAGATTCCTCACAGAAGGTGAAATATAGCTTTTAATGTGCTTGATGATGATGGTGACATATTCTAACTTGAATTAATACTAAAAGACCTGCACTTGTAATGCATGTGTGTAAATGCATCCCTTTAATGAGCCCTCTGGCACCAGTATACTCATATGCAGATTAATACCCTATAAAGTTACAGCTCATCTTGTGATCTTTGCCTCTAGTTTTACAGTGAGTGTTATTGGAGGATGAGTAAGCATCAGACTCTGTGCACAGGAGCACGACTCTTCAGATATCCTTTGGACAGTGTCGAATCACCTCTGTGGTCTAAATGACGCTGTTTGGATTATCACCAAGGGCATTAAATAACCTCTGACCAGTGTTTATGGCTGGACCACTAAGTGTGTGTGTGTGTGAGCTTTCACGTGTGTCAGTGTCTGGGTGTTTCTCTGCTTATATCCGAGTTCATCCACACACTGAGACAGAATGATATCATGCTCTAAATTAGGGTGGGCATCCAATACCTTTTTTCCATGATGTAATGCCAGTTTGGACTTACTTAGTGGTTGCACACGCAGCAAAATGAAAGACGTGCAGGGCCTCAGAATAGTATGATCTGCAGGGATGGACTGGTGACCACTGTCTAGTCTGGCCTGCATGTTTTGGTGAGTCCAGAACACGTTTTTGTCTCAGCTCACAGTTTATGAATGCAGAGAGAGCCCACAAAGTGCAAGACACTGATGCATTCTCAAAAATGTGTCAGATGCTCTGTGAAATAAATGAACACATGTGCAAAGATACAAATGCAATATGTTTCAGTTTAGTTTAACAAAAAGGTCTAAATACAAGGCATGCATTGGACAGATGTGAAACTGAAATCAGTTCTGGTTGATTTCACCATGACGAGCAACTCTAATATACCAGGATACACAAATTAATTTCATAATCAGAAAACCAAACAGTACAACATAACTGTAACTTTATTATATTATATTTTATGAGCGTTAAATATGAAATGTGAGATCTGGAAATGATCATAACTGGGAGTGCAAAAGCATGGAAATGCAGCCTGAAAGTTTAGACTGCAGCCAATTGCAAAAAAGATGGATTACCTATTATTTACTCTGTTATATGAGAACTTTTATGTTTTTAATCAAATTCAAAGTCTAGGTTTGTATATCTAAAGCTCGATGGGTCCTGATCCCACCAGGAACTCCACAACAGATGACAAAGGTTTTGAAAGAGTGATGGTCAGATGTAATATAAAATCATCTAGACGTAAGATTTTAAAGAAATGGTCGAATCATGCACTGATAACACTTACTGACAGAATGAATTTTGCAACATCAATAAAGCACCTCTTATAACGTAAAAACATATTTGATGAAGTGTTAATATTTGACCTTAAGAGATTGATTGCATTCTACAAGTTCATTGTTGTTTTTATTATCAGTCCCCAAGAGCTACACATCAATATATCATGCATTGCAACACTAACAATCTGTCAAATTTTCCTGAAAACAAACAAAATAGGTCTGTAATTTTGTAATACCTTGTTCTCTTGTGCATACGTCAGCACACATGCACAGCTGAGCAGTCTCAGCTGTGGATAATGAAAGAGATAGGCCCCAGAGATGAGTGTAAACAGTTGTGAGATTACTTTACAGCCACTATTATCACTGCTTCTTCATCGCAGAGTAAACACACAAATCCATTAGTGAGTAAACGCTGATAGGGGTGGTGTGTGTGCGTGGGTGTGTGTGTGTGTGTGTGTGTGTGTGTGTGTGTGTGTGTGTGTGTGTGTGGGGCTCTGCAAGTGTTGGAATGTCACACAAGAGAGAAAGTAGCAGAAAGAAAAGCAGGCAAAGTTAAAAGTGATCGCAGAGTGGAGCATCAATATTTCAGACGAGATCACCAGGAGGAAGCAAGGGAGATGTTGTGTAAAGGGAATGTTAATTTGAGTATATTTATAAATGACTTTTAAATGATACAGACAGCGAGACAGACAAACAAGCAGACAGGAGTGTATGTTTGTCATAAAACCACAGCACGACAAATCCTCGCTGAGAGACGGGTAGGACTGCAACCTGAGCACTACACAGTTTGAGTGACAGCCATCCTTGGCTGGCTGCTTGGTGATATCAGTCTGAAAGTGTTTGTGGGTGCGTGTGTTTGTATATACACGGTAGGACAGGGTTGGACATGTCACTGAGAAGAAAAAAAAAACGTCACATCAAAGTCTCTAGGCCACTAAGGTTATGTTTACAGCTGAAGACACCCAGTAATGGCCTGAAGATCTCAGGTCTTATGTCCAAGCCTGCTGTTGCTCTTTAGTGAGTGTGTGTGTGTGTGTGTGTGTGTGTGTGTGTGTGTGTGTGTGTGTAGATGGCAGAGAGGTGGGACAAAAGGTCTCACAATTAACCTCAAAGGGTTCTCTGTGACAGAGGCAGACAGCAAGACCAAGATAAACTACAGTATGGGGAAGACAGAGGGCTCAAGGAATAAATGGATGCACACCTTGCAGACAAGAGGTGTGTGTGTGTTTGTGTGTGTGTGTGTGTGTGTGTGTGTGTGTGTGTGTGTGTGTGTGTGTGTGTGTGTGTGTGTGTGTATGTGTGTGTGTGTATATATGTTTAAAGCTGAAGGGAAATTAAGCATCTGTCGTACCTATCGTTGCCTTAGGGATGAGTAAGCAGCTAAGTACCACCTGAAACCTGGAAATGAAACAGTCATTGTCTCTGTCTATCAGATAATGCCAGTGTGATCACAGACTGTGACTCATCAGATAAAGCCTGGTTTGTTTGAGATTTCTGGATGTGCTAATTGATGTGTGCCAGCCTCACTTCTGAAATGTTGTGTTTCCTGACTGCAATCCAATCCATTTAGCAAAAGTAACATAATTACTTTGCCTACTATCAGCATGACACAAAAACAGGAAACTCCAAATACAATTTCTCACACATTATTTACAAAGTAATATTGTGTATGTAATGTAAAGCATGTCTTCTGGTTTTCTAGTTGAATAAATATATAGGGAGACCATTTTGAAATTGTTCCAATATACATTTTTAATACTAAAACGACCATCGGCTAAAATTTAATTTAATTGTTGTTTAACTTTGTATTAATTCGTCAGTCTTTGACTCGTCAGTCTTTGACTTTTGAAGTGTGATGCGTAACACCTTTGTATCAACCACCATGTGGGTAAATTTAGCCTATGAGAAAGAATTAGCTAGGACATCTGATTACAATCAATCAATGTCCATGGTAACTGAACAACAACATCTGCTGTTGGAGGCCACAAGAGGGGGTAAGGAGCTTCATTCATTGAGTTGGACCCTTATTTTCAAAAAAATCTTTTTGCATGTGTAAAAAAAATAAGATAATTTGACTCTTTGGCAATACAGCCCTATACACAGTAATGTTCTACAACATGTATGTCAACTTGTCAGATAACAGTGAGTGGTAAGGCTTTTTCTACACTCTGTATTTTTATGCTGAGCTATAATTCTGCTTTATAGATTAACTAAAAAGATGTGCTGTTGAGCACAAAGACACCATGGCAACAGTAATAACTCTAATAAAAACCATATAGTTAATAGTTTGGTCTGAAGGTGGAGTACAGTGGTAGCTATCCTAACATAACATTTGCTTGACTCACAACTGTATGAAGTTTTTGGCTTGTGTTGGGATAATCTGTGAAGCTGGCAGAGCTGCATTGTGCTTACACAGAATCTGTTTTTATTGAATATACCAGTGAAACGAAGCAGGAATGACTACAGCACATTACCACACATGATGACACAATGAACAGCAATCATGCCACTATGACTTAAAACCTCTGAGCTAACAAAGCTCTGGAAGGCACAGCTTCCTATTTCTTATGACTTTATATACTGTATATATGTCTCCTGTCAGCACCATCGTTACTTTATGTCAGTGACAATGAAATGGCTCGGTAGTAATTATGCAGGATTTTTCCTAGGATACCTGTTCCAAAACAACACACACTGAGCAGACACTGATGCTGCAGAGGAAAAAGAAAATCCCCTCTCACACAGCTGTTGGTTACTATAACACATGAGATAAATGGCAACGTAAGTGGGTCTCCATGATTTCAGTGCTGATTACATAATATTGGTGGCCTGCATAATACTGAGAAAAGTATTTCTGAAACAGCAGTAAAATTCAGCAATAGTTTTGGACAATAGTTTTGGACTGCAGTTCCTTTGGTGGGGTGCAGTAGACAAAGTGTCACTTAGGAGTCTTGATGAGGGGGTGAGATAATTTGGATCGGAGTGGGTTTCAAAGTAATCAGACACCACCACTGTTCCTCTCTGTGCCTGCAGTGTCTTCTTCCTCTGATTCTGCAAGTATATGTGTGTGTGTGTGTGTGTGTGTGTGTATGTGTGTGTGTGTGTGTGTGTGTGTGGCATGGTGTTTTTGTTACCTATTTGTAAAATGTTCAGCTATAAACATATGAGAACCTGAAGTCTGCATATATCTGGGTTGAGGATAAGGCGTAAGGTGTGAATTTAGGTATAAGCGTAAAGGTGTTTTGCCTAATGGTAAACTGTTTGCGTTTGCTCTCTGCAATGAATGAAAGTCAATGTTAACTCCTACTTAGACTTAGACTTAGACTTTCTTTATTGTCATTCAAACTTGTACTTTACAGTACAGATAAGAACAAAATTTTGTTGCATTTGGCTCGTTGTAGTGCAGGATAAAAACAGCAGCAAGTATTTACATAGAAGAAATAAGGTGCAGATATAAATAGATATAAAAAGAAAAGCTATGTGTAAAATTACTATACAGATAAATATATTGCACGTTTGTGATGTATGTTATATTGTATTTTACAGTCCAGTGAGGTAGTCCTGTGTGGGGGTTTGAGGGGGAATGGAGGGATTATTTTTTCGTGTTCAAAAGGCGAGCTGCACAAAATTGTGTTTGTTTGTGTATGTCCGTCTTCCAGACAACAGCTGATAGCCAGTGGTATCATAAAGCATGAGTTTGTGTGAAGTGAATCATAATACTAGAAGCTTTAATGTCCTGGTAGAAAAAGGGGAAAAGGCTGTATTGTTTTCCTCTCTGGCATTGAGTTTTATTGTGGAGAAGTAACGACAGTTCTAAAGATATTTTAGGCTTGGCTTCAGCATAACAAAACAGATTTTGCATGCACAGGAAAAAGTCACATTTGGACACAATACAACTGAATTTATTCAGGACATCCACAGGTCACACGGACCAATATGAGACCACTTCCTCAGCTAAGCTGCTTTCTCGTAAATCAACGCACAACTTGTCAGCAGCCTCCACTTCATTTGCAAGGACTTGGCTGTAATTTCAGACCAATGCAAAGAGTGGACATAGGAATATTCAGAACAGCGGCATGGAGGAATTGACGCCTCAACAAGAAGCAGACAAAAGTCTCAAACTAAACGCTGCTTCGAGAAGAAAGGAATCTACTGAAACTGTTCAGCAGTTCATTCAAGGGAATCCATGTTATACATACAATTTATCGCTAGAAAATAAACATTTAACCCATGAATTTGATAGAGAGGTTAATGACTTTCTTGTATGGGAATATTTGGTCTGCAGCTGCGATCCCTTATCTCTGTGAAACATTGTAAAAATATGGCACCTCCATCTTTATTAAGACCTCCGTCAGATATTCCAGTGATTGTCTCTCATTATTAATGGAGATGGTGACCTTTTGCTCTGCTTACATGTTGCTAATACTATACCTCCTGTGTAGACACCATGCTAGATTATCTATTGGAACAGTTAGCAATGTTAAACCAAACCGATAGTGCGTCCGTTCTGTATCTTGTACTGGTGACCTTTACTTACAGGATTTACAAAGGCACAGGAGATCAGGTAGATCTGATAGCAGAGAAATGATGAATCCAAACCCACATTCAAAATGTACTCACAGGAAGCCACAGCTGCTGCAGGAATGACTCGCTGCCTCTCTGTTGGTCAGTGCATAGACTTGATTTTTTTTTTTTTAGTGTTGTGCCTTATTACCAGTCATAAATGCTACAAAACATATTTTATCTCTTCTTTAATATTTTGTGGCTTAATCTCAAATTCCTGTGTCATTAAATCCAGTTTTATCCAAAGAGTGTCTTCCACTGATTGGTTCTCTGGCAAGTTTCTTACCCTTCATGACACTGTCCAGAGCAGCACAGACAAGGGCGGACATTTCCCTTATGTCTGTCTTTATGTCTGTGTGTTCATACATGTCTGGACTGTCAACGGGTGCACCACTCCCTATGATGTCCGCTCTGTAGAAATGGACCACATTGACTGATCTTTTATCCTCTGCCTTGGCCCTGCATGTGAGGAGTAAAGACAGTGACCAACCAACTTAGCTGAGCCAAGATCCCACAGAATCACACCCTGAAACCACAGAACCTTTAGTGGATCTCGCTCCCACTCGCTTTCTGTCTTGTATCATCAAGAGGAACTTTGTGTCACTCCAAGTGACAGCAGTGACGTTAAACAACATCAAGAAAAAAGCCTTCTTGGCCAGAACCTCGTCATAGGTTAGAAATTCTTGCATTGGGCCCCAACTAAAAATGACTATAGAGCTTGTTTCTAGTGCAACATTGTCAGGAAAATCCTGAGGATTACCAATGATTGGATGACACAAACATGCTCCATCAATTCAGGCTGTCGTGCATTTGGTATACTGAACAACTCTTACCCAAGAAATGGGTCTTGGAAAACTTTATGTTATAAGCTTGGGTCCCAAAATGAAGCTACAGGAAAAAAGGTTTACAGAATTCTTTGCCTGCTGTCTTGAACAAACAAAGGCACTAACCATTCATGACAGCTGGTGAGGTATCGTGCTGAACTGGATCAAGACATGCACAGTTTACACACTGGAACTCCCCCTTATTTTCCTCAAACACATGTTTGGGCTAAAATGTAAGTTATTATTTCATTTACGGGAGGGGAAAATGTCATCATCATTGAACAGGTGCTCTACTAGGCTGGGAAAGGGTGGAGAATACAGTCAGTGCTGCCTGACACCTTTCATTTCTATTATTATGAGGAGATAGTGTGGGAAGTTTGGAAGAATCGACTCAACTAATAAACAGCTCTTTTTGACACTGCATGTCAAGAAACTACAGAACAGATGTGTAAGTGTTGTAGACTAGTAACACATGGCAGTCATACTGGTAAGGGAGATGGAAGGTTAAAAGGTCACAGGGTAGATAGACAAAGGACTACAGCAAGATGGAGAAGTCGGGTGAGAGATACAGAAAGAACATACGCAGAAAAGAGGATATTAAGACAAAGTCGAGAAAAATAATCTCCCTGTTAGCATGGTGAGTTTGAGTTACTGTATCAACGTATTTGGCTGGTGGCCTATACAACTGTCTCCTCTAGTTCCAAGCATGAACATGCATGTACAGAATGTTGAGCCGTAACAGCCAACAATGTTTTTGGCTGTCACACAGCGTACAGAACATTACAGGCCTATAGTCAGACCAGGGCGTGTCAGCTGAGCAATTGAACAATTGACATACCTTGAAGTCTAGAAGGGCTGTTTCCATCCAAAAATATTTATCAGAAAATTACCAGGAAAATGTCTGCACTGTCCAAATATCAATTGTTAATCATATCCAGGTTGAGAGCTTAAAAGAATGCAGACATATCAATGAGGTCACTGAAAAATGTCTGAAGCCACAAATGATCATTGACATAACAAAATGTTTTTGATAAATGAGTTGTGTGATTCAAGTCACAGAAACGGTGTATTTAAAGGAATATTTCCATTCAAATCATTGTCTTGATTTAGTTGAGCATGCTCACGTTTGCTATTAGCACTATACAGTATATAGAAGATATCTGAGGTGGATGGGAAGTCATTCTTTCAGCAGGTATCAAAACTGAAACAATTGCAACTCAGAATCCATTGATTGTATAAATAATATAAATAAGTAACTGATGCATGAGCTTCAGTAACCATCACTTCCCTTAACCTTTAACCCAAAACTGACATACAGTATAAAAGAGCAGCGCGTCTTACCTGGAAGGGCATGGTTTGGTGTTGCATGGCATCAGTCCAGTGGCTGGTCTTGACCGGGGATTGCAGAAGGATGTATTTACTTGCACTCTCAAGTCTTTGTAGCATGCTGGCTTGGTACTCATCTGACCTACAGGTTATAAATCAAAATATTAAACTTAGGCACATCATTAACTTATTATTTTCATTCACAGTTACAATCTAACCAGTCTGTGTCTAGGCTATAAAATACCATTAAAACTATGTGCTCACATTCTCTATGTTGAATCAGATGATGATATAGAGCGGCATTGTATATTATTGACACAAAAAGACACTCCCATTTAGAATACAGCATGGACAAAAAATATATTTGGGATTTAAAACAAAACAGCATATCCTTTTGTTGTTGCCACGTGTCAAGAAGCTATTAAATTTAAGCACTTACTGAATATGTGAGACCTATTCAAAATGCTTTCTAACCACATCTTTCACATGTTTTAAAAAAGAGATTCTCTGTAACTTATGACAACACTTGAACAGTTTGATTACTTTTTTAGTAATGTAGTTTATCTGAGGAACTTGTCAGTGTTGATTCTGGCGCTCCCTGTGGACACAAAGAGGTAACTTTTGGCTCTTTGCCAATCTTGTTGAGTACATTTGTGAGGACTGATTTCCGACCTCAGACAAATGTCATCTTGCTTTTTTTAATAGACACTCACCACAAATATTTGCCTAAGACAATGTATTACAGACTGTTTAGGCAGGGTTCTGTTTATCACATTGTCTGGCACCTATACTGCAGCAGCATTTACAGGCATTCAAACACAATTATACACTGTAGATATAATCAATTTCTTCACGGATGTTATCTTCTGCTTTTGTAGTGCATATAGAGGCATCAGTATGTTTCCTAACTAAAACTCCTCACAGGAGCTTTAACTTCTGTTTGTAATTTTAGGTTTAAACATTTACTTGCTCAGAATCTAATAAACATCTCATATTGCCCTTATGTGTTTGTTGTTAAATCCTTCCACAAATGAGGAGCCAACAGTGCTTTTTTTTTTCTTCATGTGAAACTTGAATCCTGGCTTCATGGATCCCCAGGTTGGTATTTGGCCTCAGGCATGGTCAATCTGCACATCTTAACTCATACAGGCCCGTTAGTCAGTCACACTCTTTAATAAAGCAAATGACCCCCAACCCATCTTGGCCTACAATCAGGACACAAAGGCATGGAGGTGGTGAGGGTGGACTGCAACAGGCCTGGGTGGGGATCTTTAACCCTAAGTGTCAATCAATAGGAACTCTACACTGGGGGCTTTGTTCACATGCATACAGACACACAAATACACACATGCATATACAAAGACCTTCAAGCACAAGGTCTGCTCAGGTCATTACAACAGCTTTTTCATGTTTGTGTGTGTGGGTACGAGTTCAAAAACAGAGCCTCTGATTGGACAAGGTCACTGGTCAAAGCCTTGCATGCGTGTTCTTGTGTGCTTAACTTATATGTGCATGTTCATGTGTGCATTTAATAGCAGGTGTCCCTTAGAACAGGCCCCACCAGAAACGGCTAATGTCCCCTAATGATGGGAAAACTCCCCATCCCCATTTAAACTGCAGCTAAAAGCCTGATTATAGATCACAGAGGTTGGACTGAGCTTTAGATGCTGAGCCGGATTGAAGATCTAAAGGTGATCCGTCCTTTTTCATTAGTGCATCATTTTAAAAGGGTCCAAGTTCAGTCACATTTTGACCAGATTTCTATCGCAAGTGTAATAGGATATAGTGTTTAGGTGTCATTCATGTATACACCTACCTCCTGCACAGGTTAATGAACATTGGGAGCGTATGATGGCCCACGTGTAGTTGTGTTTTATGTGATTTCTTCTCTCATCTGCTTTCTTCAGAGTGTATTCCCAACGTACACCTGGGTTCCAGCCCTGCAACAAGATCTACAGGAGAAACAAGAGCAAATGAAATACATGAAATTACATCTACCATTAAGTGATCAGAAATAACCAAAGAAGGTTAACAGCCATACAAGCAAGTAAAGGGTGTTTTTAGATATTTAAAAAATGAAATAATCATAATAAATATCAAACAATACCGTCAGGATCCTCCGATTCTTACCTCTATGACTAGTGTCTCATTGGTGGGGCCGGTTGATATGAGACTCTCTGGTCGGTTATAGGGTCTCTTGTATTCGAAAATAGCTCCAGCGATGGGGTGTCTTCCTGGCCAGTCCACCGTCCATTGTCCGTTAAGGTGGTAGCGTCTCTGTGTGTCCCTGACTGCCAGGTAGGAGCTGGACGTATTTAGTTCTATCACACGGATACTCCGGGCACCCGCAGGGACGGTCACCACCCCATAGTACTCTGGGAGAAATGTTTTTGTTTGTGTTTGAGAAAATAAATAAAATGCAATCAAATTCATCGAGGATAAAGAAAGAACTAGTAGCTACAGTTTCTCAAATGAAAACCAGAAAGAAACAAAAGAGCAGTGGATCAACTCACGGTTAGTGTAAAGCTGCTTAGTGTACTGTCCTTTGTAGATCTTGCAGGTGGAGTTGTCTCCTTTGCACACACCACAAGCATCAGGCACCGCTGTGGAGCCCAACACTCGGTCACAGCCCACTCTCTAGGGAGAAAAAACATCATTGCTTCTGACATTGTATACGTTGAATGCCACATTTCATCATATTATAAAATAAAACACATCAGTTGAAAACTACCAAATATGGTGACACGCTGACATATTTTTCCTTATGATGTAAAAATGGGTTGTGACAGAGCAAGGCAAGGGTGTCTACTGATGTTTTTTAACTGATAAATCCCCTCTAAACTGTACAGCTCAACTCTCATCTCCAAACCGTTTGAAATCATTCTTCAATCAAATCTCTCTTCGTCAGTCTCACTTCATGACATTTCAAAGTATTACCTCACACAGTCCGTCGATGCAGACGTTAGAGCTGTCCTGTGAGCACAGTGTCCCATCCTTAACTTTGCTGGCCAGTGCAAAGAAGAAATCGTAGCCTTCAGCAAAGCAGTACAGCTTACACACATCCTGGTCTGGGAGGAACATGAGCACAGGTAACAAAAAAAGTTGAATACAATGAATGACATGGCTAGAAATGAAAAAGCCTCCTCTAGAATTTCCCTTTAATCGTTTCAATTTTTCTTTTTACATTTTGAAAAACAGGTAAAAAAACGTATCATACCATCCACTCTGGTGTATGGCCTCCAGGTGTAGAACCATCCTCTGAACTGTTTGCTATTATATTCTGCACACTGCTGCGCTCTATAGTCAGTGGTGTTGGCAGGACAATCCTGAGTGTTACAAAGTTTGTAGGACCTTGAGGAACCCTCACAGAACTTCCCTCCAAACACAGGCCTGAAGAAGAGAATTGAGAAGTTAGACTTGATGCAAATTATTGCATGTTTATTACTTCACATAATTGTTGGCCTTGGGAAAAAAAGATGTGTTGAGTAAATGTACCTTTTTTTTTTGCCTCCTGTATTTATTTGTTTTCAGGATGTTGTTCTCTGTCAATTTTACAGAAAACCTTAAAACATTACACCAGTTTGATGTGTTCCTTTTATTTGCTTTTTTATTTTTTTTCTGATTCATTGAAATGGAATACAATATTTGAACATCATTTGAAAAACAATGCAACAGGTTTATTTAAAAGTGTTATATTTGAGGTCTGAGTCTTAGTACTTTCAATATTCATCGCATTTCAAAGGCAAAGAGAAAAGAAAATACAAAACAAACTGAACATTTTGGCTCCCAAGCACTTTCAAATGAAATCAGGTAAGGGGATTCTTGATTCACATAGTATACAGAGAAATAACTGAAATACAAAAGAAGTAAAGAACAATAAATATCTCTGAGGCATGTCTCAGATGTGTAGCACAAACCCTCTTGTAAGAATACTGGAAATATTCAAAGCGTATGAGATAAAGAGTGAAAAACGTTGTCTCTATTGTAGTTTGTTGTGTTTCTGTTTTGTTCATTCTTTTTATATTTGACCTTACCAGTTCATAAAAAACACACTTTGTTGCATTCTTAAAGGTGATCTATTATTCTTATCTGTATTTAAATACATACATACATTGTTACTATGTTGGATGTCCATACTAAACTTCAGCGAAGTTTTTTAAAAATACAATATACACTGCTTTTTGGCTTAATTGCTGGATCCCTGGTTTCCGGCGGCTCTGTCGGAGGCGTTACAAGAATTTGCCAACGTATTAGAGCAAAGCATGGAGCAAAGTTATAGGACATGCCCATCCCCGGCAGCTTTTTTAAGGACACGCCTCCTGGAAGCTCACTCAAATTTCTCTGCAACTTCAAACAAAGCTAGCTAATCAGAGAAAAGTGGACACGTTGGGAGGGGGGACTTAAAGAGACAGTAGCTGAAATGAACCATTGTAGGCAGAGGCTGAAAGGAGGGATTTTACCAACACCAGTACAAGATAAATAAAGAGGTTTTTGAGCTACACATCTAGCAACTCTACTCAATAGGTGTCCCAGACTGATATAATTAATGGTGAAAGTGAGTATAATAGATCTCCTTTAATAGGTTAATTTGAATTCTACATCTAGACTGCATTTATACACTTACAAGCAACCTTCCATTGACTCCTTGTCATTCTGCAAAATGACATGAGCGATATAAACATATTGGAAGCCAAATAGAGACTTTTAATGGGACTTGAAGAAGAAGTATAATAGGCACCGTTTCTATTGGCTCTGGAAGAATGTTTAACAAATGAAACAATAAACTGCAATGACTTAACATGAACATCTGATGAACCAAGTCTTTGATCTGAGTGAGGTGAAATTGTGTGTCTAATTTCCAAACACACACATTTTTGTTATAAGCCTGTGTATTGGCATGACTAAAATGTACTGTAAGTCTGCATGTGGCTGTGTGATGTGTCTGTCGAAAGTCCTCTTCAATCACAGGTGTATATCCCTGGGCAATGTTCTTTGAATTCCCCTCTGTGGGACAACTACACCTTTCTTTAACCCCTCCAATCATATTGTCAGTTATCTCCTCCTCTCTCGCTCTCAGATTCTCTCCCTTCATATCTCTGCATTTCATCTTTCTCTTTTTAAATCCTTCTCTTTCAACTATCTAGACCTCATTCCCCCTTTCTATCTCTTTCTTTTTCTCTCTTTCTCACAAACCCCTGCCATCTTTCCTTTTTTCATCTCTCTCTCTCACCCTTTCTGCTCATCTCTCTCTGTCTAATTTAACTCGCCACTTGTCAGGATCTTGGCATGACATGATAAAGAAGGGGCCCTGGCATTCGGGGTAGGGCCCCCTTACTGACTGGCTGTACAAATAATCCTGAGTGACTGATGAGTAGCAGACTAAGTGAACAGATAAGTGATGAAGTGAGAGACCCATGTGAGCCATCTTCACCATTTAAATCACGTGTCTTAATATACTCTTTGCCTTGAGTCAAGTCATCACAAACCGTGCAGACTACTTCTGTACCAAAGTGTAGTCACTTACTAAATCTTCTGTGTGCTAAAAATCACAGGAGTGACAAGTCAAATGTCAAATTTAAGATGTGGTTCAAATTATTTCCTTTAGTAACGCAACCAACAAAACAAAGTCAGCTTAAGGTGAACCTGGGTTTGAGCTCTTTATTTGCATGGATCAAGTTTTAATAGCTTGAAATGTGATCATGAAAGCATGTGCCGTTCTGACACAGCACATGAGTGGACCAGAACGGCATACTGTATGACACTCATATGCAGCATGTGCCGGCAAGTGCCAATCTGCCTCGGCACATGAGTGGACCGGCATATGCATATGATCTACCTATTTTCAGGAGTGCATAAGTGAAAACGCCTAAAGACGCCACTGCAGCAGCACACGTTGTAGCTCTGCATCATGACAGTGCCTGCCTGAACAGCTCTGCATTTAAATATTCTGTAAACCTATAGTGTTGCCTGTTTGAACTTGCCAGTACTACGACTATCACACAAATCGATCTGCTCAGCCCACTGCTTGGCCACATGTCTCTGCTGCTGCGCTCCCCGCGGTCGCGACACACCCCGACATGCACAGGGGGGCGAGGGCCCTTCATCACCGCTTGCTGTTTTAATTTGCTTTCGCTTTTCCACCTGTAGACTACTAATTAGCACAAATAAGAAAGTAAAATTCATCATTTTTGCTGAAGTAACATGCTGACTTACAAGTTTTTTTTGGCAAACAGGCTATAAAGTACCAAGTCACTACTCCCAGGTGTACATACTATACATCATTCATTGCAAAACCACAAATTTAACATGTTATGCATTTATGCATTTAGTTTATGTATGGATAAGGAAATAAAATGAAGGGTTTATCATGTTCTTGAGCAGCTAAGACAAATGTATTTCCTGGTGTTGGCTTTAGCTTCATTTGTTGCTCTCATCTGCACAAACAAGTGCCGCAGTATGTGCTTCACAGGTACTCTTATGGTGTGTGTCTCTACCTGGGGTTGTTGCACTGCCTCTCCCGATAGGTGACTCCGCTCTCACAACTTCTTGAGCAGGCAGACCAAGAAGACCAATCTGACCAGTGGCCATGCTGGGGCCTCGGGCCCTCATCACCCTGTTTCACACACTGGCCCCTACGACACCACTGAGAAAGATAGAGAAACCAAGGATTATGATGGAGAAAAAGGGAAACAGAAGAAAGAGAGACACACACCAGGAAAGTCAGCCATGAATGTTTCAAATATGTAGTCTTTCTAATGGACTGTGCCTTGCTTATTCTTTATGGAGCCTCTGTCACACCATATGGGTGAACAAAAATATGTTCATCTGAACAGAAATCAAGATTAACTGCGACCCAAAAGTTCCTGCTGCAGTCCTGGTTTCGTACTTACAATGTATCAGTGAAACTCCTGTTGCACTGCCCTTTAGTCAGACTCTACCTCGAGCCGTCATCATCTAACACAACCACAATGTGGAAAAACGACAAGGATCTTCTCCTACAACAAATACACTCAACCATTGTTTTATACAGCTATATTTGTATTAATTCAGTTTTCCTCCTTAAAAGCAGTATATTGGAGGAAAAAGAGTTAAAAGTAGGGCTGTCAAGCAATTATTATTTTTAATTTCTCTAATTGCTAAATTTCTATAGTTAATCGTCATTGATTGCATTTTTTAATCACATGTTTAAAATTTCATTATTTCGCATTTTAAAAGACATGAAGGCTTTTATTCAGATTTTTTTGTACTGTCCTAAGCTGAGCGTACTTTATTTGCTGTTTGAATTCAACCCTGCTTTTATTCTGAAATAAAGAAAGGCCCTTCTTGTAGATCGAAAGTTACAACATTAACAGGACATTGTAAAACTAAATAAAAAACAGCTCAACTGAACTGTCTGAAAGTGAAATGAGACATTCAAAGATAAAGAAAAGTTATTGTTTTCTATCCCTGTGACTAGAGTGAGACACTGCAGAGACTTATCCACGGTGCGCCTGAAGGGACAAAATAGCATGTGATTCGTAAATATTTTTTAAAAACTGATATGTTTATTTTTATTTCAGACCTTAATTAATCGTGATTAACTAGGTAATGCTGACAGCCTTTAGTTAAAAGTAATTTACAAACTTTAAAAAAGTATAGTTTCCTTCCTTTTAAAAAAATTGCTAACGACTTTGTTCTAAAGTAAAATAATACAAAAACATTTTAACATCTTTTCAGTGCAGAGCAACTTAAGGTTGGTCTGTAAGCCCTTCTCTGACTTGTTCATAAATACTAGTGTCTCTCTCATTTTTTAAAAGAATTTAATTGGAACATGCAGGCTTTTTCTCTCTGAGGCAAATTGACCTCACAATAAGGCCATAACTAACTTTTACTGGTTTTATGCAGATAAATTAAGTATGAAGTCACCAGCTGCTTCATTTTACACTTCAGAAAGGAACTTCATTGTTGTACAGAGTGCTTTCCACACATGAACATCGCCAAATGTTTTCCCACCAGGCGAAGCAGAGGAAGATTTCAAACCAAATGGCAAGTCATGTAATTACAGTTTATTCAAATAACTCGCTGTTTACAGCATGTGGTGATGGAGACAGTACAGGACACACAAATCTTCATACATCTTAAACTCGTGATTTGTCCCCAGAAAAAGGCTGAGTCATCAAGCAGCCAACATGTCACATGTTTCAAACTAAGAAGCAACTAGCTCAAAATCCCTAAATGTAACTTGAGAATACTTTTTACAAAATGTAGACTCACTTAAAGCAACATTATGTCACAATCACTTTCCTGGCACAGGATTGATCTGGATTTGTACATGTCAAGATGACATCAGTCACAGTATACTCCTCTGCTCGGCTTGGAGTGATCTCAGGAACCTTTTTGCCAGCACACACACACACGAACGCATTAGCATTGAGGGGGGGGGGGGGGGCATATAGTCAGCTGTCCCGCTTCTCACTGTGTGTTCATGCCTGCACATGAGCCATAATACACACACACACACACACACACACACACACACACACACACACACACACACACACACACACACACCCATCTAACTAATCTTGGTCCTTGACTAAGAGCTAGAACAGCTGATTTCCCCTCAGTTTTCCCCCTGCGGCTGAGTGCCACGGATTCCGAAGTGGGCCTGTCATTGTTTGTGTTCACTTAATTGTCCCGTCGAGGCAGAGGGCGGGATTAAACCATCAGGTCCAATATATTGAGAAGAAAATGTAGATGAGGGGCTGTCGGGGGAGTGAGGGTAAGAGGAGAGCGAGCCTTGGGGGAGAATCATCTTGAAAGAAGTACGTGAAAGAAACAAAGAATAAATATAGAGCACAGATTGCTTTTTGGCTCAAACTCCAATGGGATCTTTTTTTTTTCTTTTTCGCCATGTCAGCAACAAACAGATCGCAGCTGCTCCCTGAGGTAAACTGATGGAGAAAGAGAGTTGTACCTTTGAAAAACAGAGGCTTTTTCTGACACTGAACTCAAATGAACTGAAATATAAAATGTAATATAGTCAGTCCAAGCATCTCTCTTACGGTTTGATTTATTGCTCTGCACTGGGACACGGACATGAGTGTGGAATAAGGATGCTGGGAAAAGTGCAGCGTCAGTCAGCTGAAGGCTTTTTGTCTTCAAACAACCAAATTAATTGGGAGTACAAGCATTACACTAAAATGTCCAATAAATGTGACTTTTTATACTGGTTTGCCCATGAATCTAGCCGGTTCGACTTATAAATACTACGAGTCTTGATTGTGCAATTTACCCACTTAGAGGTCTGTGGTATCCCTTGGAGTAGATATCTGTGTGCAATAAATACTTTTAACTGAATGTCACACAGTTGATAATACTGAGCAGTACATTGGAAAAAAAAAAATCTGTGTAGCGACTGATGCCTTAAAGGGAAGATCCACTCAGAATTGACTCACTTCATCTGGTTTGTGCAGCATCTGAAAGCTGTCACTTCCAATGTTCTTGTTTGAATTGTGTTGGTCTGCTGGAGGGGACATTTTCACCGAAGCTGCAAAGAACTGTTTGCAAAAAAAAAAGGCTGTTGTTTGGTGTCTTTCATTTGTGTTTAATTTGGTTAAATGTTGGAAAGGAGCAGCTTGCTGGCAACACTCATTTAAAAAAAAAAACACATGCTGTCCACATTTAACTAAACAGCTCTAAGCTATCACAAAGGCGAATCAGCTGAAAAGTCAATTTTGCTCGTGTTGCAACGGCAAAAGTTATCTTAGTGATGATCTGTGATCCCTTGTCCCATGTAGGAAAAGCATGTTTCTTTCTTTTATTGCCTGAAACATGATTAATGACATCCTGAAGGAAGCTTACGTGTCCCTGCTAGCTTTTAGATACCTCCTTGGTGTGCCTACTTGAGTTGCATCAAAGGCCGTGAATGAAAAAGTCCCATGTAAGTGATGGCTCCCATGCGAGCCATGTGATTTTACTCCTGAGGTGACAAAACTGCTGATAGTACCACCCAGCCCCCCACACCTCTTACACAAAGACACACACACACACACACACACAACACAACACTTTTTGAATCACCATATCAGGTCCACAGGCAGAGCCCTCAGCAGCTGGCATGAACTTGGTCTCACACTTCCTCCCAACACGGTGGCACCACAGAGCCTTACAGATATCCTGGAAAAATTAGATGAAGAGCAAGTTAAAATGTATACTGACATGTTTTTTTTTCTGATCTTTATTTCAGAAGCAGGATGATTTTTTTTTCCATCTCATCAACTGTAAACACATTTAGCAAAGATCAGATGATGAATTATGACTGCATTTTTAATCGCCCACAAGAGAGCTTTGAAAACATGATGTGTTGAAATAGAGTTCATCTTAATAACAATCTTTGGCTAGCGATCAGTGTGCAGCACCAAATATTTATGCTTCAGTAGCTAGGATAACAATATTTGAGGAAAAAAAGGCATAAAAAAAAAAATCATGCGATCTGGTCCAAGACATTATCCCATAGGCAATGAAATGCATGAATGAACATAAAAATACACACCCATTTGTGTGATATGATGACAGACAAATAAAATGAAAGAATTTGCAATCAGTATTTTCCAACACTTCATTTGACTAACAAAAATAAAAAGGAAATAAACAGAGGAAACAGTGATTAAAATAATGACATCAAAGTGTTTAATTGCATAGCCAAGCCTTTATGATGTCATTGCCTTGTTTCTCAGCATTGGTCTAAAAGATTCACATGGGAGCACATTGTCTGAGACACAAGGCGGGCTACTTGTCCACTCCATTACTATCTGAATGGCTATTTCAGATTTTGACAACCCAGTGCAGAAGCTGACAAGAACCTCGGCCTCTGCTTGTTTCTGCCAAGAACCACCATGGAATCCATTCCAATTCCTATTTGTCCAGCTGTTTTGCTTGTTCAGGCCTTTTTGTAGCAATACAATTGTTGGGAAGGAAAAGACAAAGTGAGCAATGGAAGGAAATGATGGACAGAGTGAGACAGAGACTGAGTTAAAGAGAAGAAAAGGGACAAAAAAGCACATATCACTTTACGTATTGCTTGTATATGCCAGGTTTATCAAACCACACACACCATGGAGAGTATCATTTTGCTTGTCGAACTCCACCTTATCTTGACGGCGCCTGCCAAAAAGTTTTGTGAAAAATGAAATCATGACGGGATGAATGACACCGCTGAGGCCGATTCTTGAGGTGTTTTTTATGAGTAACAAGTGTCTGGAAAGACGGTGAGCGTGACGGCTGCTTGGGGGAATTTTTCTGGGGTTCCTGCACACCTTGCTGCTACCAGGTGCATGAGAAAGGATAGTTTAAGACCAAACACAAAACCACAAGGGAGCAATTATCAAATATCTTGTTGCTGAAATAATGCACGGATGTTTCGATGTTCAAGAGAGAAGCCTAAGGAGGATACCATGTGCTGATGTTGTTGGCTGAAATCCAGTCAATAATCTTTGGTGCATTTTAGGGCATTTTTCTGCATAAAAATCATCAACACAAAATAAAATTGTATTCTATGGTCCAAATGATCTTTTATGAAATGATGTGCTTTGCATATTAAGGACAACTGTACTTACTGCAGCCGACACTTAAAAAAACAAAACAATGTGCTAACCTGCCAACTCCTTTTCTCTTTAAAAGTACCTGGATGTGTTCTAACTCTTGCATCATAATGTTTGTATAGATCAAATAAATGATCAAATCCTGTTAGATAAATAGTCATGCATGGATCCTTACTCCATGGGGATCCTGAGATAGAGGCCTTGTTGTCCTGATTTAACCTTGATTTTGGTGTCTAACAAATCCAGTGATGTTGAGGATACTTAATAAACCTTGATATATTTGAGAGCTTTTCCTAGAATGTACTTACTCTCAATTTACTAATTTACTAAGTAATTACTCTCTTACTACAATACTGATACTTTGTTAAACCTTTAGCAGCAATTAGCAATTCAGATAAACTGCTGATAGTGATGAAGGTTCCTAACCTAAACCATGTATTTTTTTCCCTCAACTTAACAGAAGGGAGTGTTTGACCTCATTATATAACATTTCATTATATTACACTATATTGTTCATATTGCACTATATTATATTATACTACATTATATTATATAACTGCACTCTGCATTACTGTGGTACAACACTGCCTCTCCTCTCTGCTGTTTACATTACTTGCTGCTATTTATCATACCAAGTCACTTTAATCATCACTTGTCACTTATCTTGTCATTCTCTGCAAATACTGTTTCAATTCTCAATTCCCTGCATAGTTAACTTCATCATTCATTTTGTACTTGTATATACCCCCTGTTTTTATTTTTATTTATCTCATCTATTCTGTTTAATGTGTATTTTGAGCTTTCTTGTCTGTGCTGCTGCAACGCCCTGCTGTTGATCTACTTCCACCTCATTAAAACAAAATCTACTGTATCCTTTCTTTAAAAGAACGTGGAGGCACTAGGGTATCCACATGTGAGATCACCAAAAACCTCAAATGCTTAACTGGGTCATAAAGTATTCTAACCCCATGTCTGTTCTAATGCACACAGTCTCAAAGAGTAACATCAGCACTAATGAGACAATGGGAGAGCACTGGGGAGAGATTCCCATTGGCAACATTCCAGTTTATATTTAGTCATCTATCCCAGTGAGTATTTCATAGGCATCATTCTATCTTTCGCTGTTTATTTTTTGTGTGTGAGAGAATCTACAATATCAGAACATGTGTGTGTGTCCGTCCAAATGAGGACATGCAACCCAACCCTTTTCCACTTATTCATTGCCTCTCTTTGTTTTACTGCATGTGCTGAGAAACCCACTGAGAGTATTAAAGCATGGTATGGGATGGCATGATTTCATTTTAAAATAATTGTTTACCTTCTTAAAATCGAGGGTGCAGAGCTTGGCCTTCTCCCCGAATTGCCATTTACACTGCGTGTCTGCATCGTACAGCTCGCCAGGCAGCTTCTCAGGGTACCGATACTCCTTTACTGCTCGGGGTTCATCTGATAAGCACAGAGCCTGGGCGGAGCTGCAGGAGAAGAGAGAAGAATACAATAGGAATGAGTGGAAAGTAGATATAGAAAAGAAGAGTTAAGAAAATATGAGAGGATGCAAGAAGAAGAAAGGCCAATAGGGAAAAGGCCAATACAAAAGAAGAGAATTCATCAAAAACTTTGTTCATAAATAAAATAAATGTAGACATAATCAGTCAAACAGATGTGATTCAGTGCCTTCATTTATAAATGTAAAGTAACTAGAATGTAGGGCTTCCATCAGTCCCTCTGTTTCATTGTTCCCCATTTTCCCTATTACTGTGAAGTGTTGCCATGGAGACAAAACAAGCTGCCAAACTCAAACCCTTGGAGTAATGGTTTTTAATGCGTCACACACTTAATTATGACAGACATAAAAAATCCTTACCCCTATCGCTCATATCCTAACACCAGCGGGGGGTTTTTCCAATGTTAACTGATATCACTGGTTACTATACAGAGAGTTCTTATGCTTATACACTGCAGTCGGGGGAATATAATACAAGAATATTCTGGAAAGTGCATGAAAAGGCAAATATGTTGGAAGGATTCACTGTGTTAGTGAGTGGTCCTGATTGCTTTAGCAGAGTATGTATATATATATATATATGTGTGTGTGTACGGGAGATTTTCTGTAGCTTTATGGGTCCTTTGTGTCTACAGAGAACAATGTCTGTTCTGCAAGTGCAATATTTTGATATTATACATTATTCCTATTATAAAGTTTCTGAAAAATACATTACGTTCACAGTGGTCACACACCAGCAGGCGCATGAATAAGGCCTGTCAGCAAGCACAGGCAGTCAGTCATAAAATTACATGGACAATGTAGAAAATGTGCAGGACCTCAGGACAGATTTGTTTGAAAACAGCTTCTTGTGCTCACTGACGGATCTGCAAGAGGCTGAGAACAAAATGTTTTCCCAAAATTTAAGCTGTAAGCAGTTTACACCACAAGATTATAATCAGCTGGGTATAAATAAATACAATAAATGAGAAAACAGGCACCCATTCTTTCAAGGACTCACTGTAGATCTGCTGACTCATCTCTTCCAGACCCAATGGTAATGAGGCAACACATTGATTTTTCTGTCAATAGCCCTGATAACAATAAGACAACAGATGTAGGCAAATAAAAACGAAGAAAAGTAAAAAAGTAATAAAAAAAGTAGAAAAGCCTTGAAATATTAAACACAGATTTGAGGTGATTTTTTTTTCTTTTTCTTTTGGTTTCTCACCTGACATACCCAAACTTTATCAAAGTGAATACTGAAATGAAAGCTCCAAATGTGATCATTGAAGAAAGACAACAAGTAATAATCAAATCTCTCCACATTTTACCACCCTAACATACAGATGGATGGACTGAGTTTCAACAGCTAGCATAGCATAAAGATAGGAACACCCCACCTGCCTCATTGTAATCACAAGAAAAATATGCTTGCTACCTTTTTCATAGCTACACTACACGAGCTGTCTTTCTGCTATGCTATGCTATGACTATGGCATATGACACATCTGGCTAATTTCATGTCATATAGATTCAAAAGTTATATCTACCTGTATCACAAAAGAAGCAACAAGCTGTGTCCTTTGTTGCATGTTTCTGACTCTGGGAAAAGTGGGTCAAACTTTCATGTATCACTGCATTCTTAATGGCTTTCACCAGTGGCCATAGAAACAAAAACAACTTCAAGTGACCTTTAAGGGGGTCTTACTTTGCCATGAAAATTGTCCATCTATGTTATGCATGACAAAGGGCTCAGATAAAGTATCTGACTATACTTATACAGAGTTTGTTTAGACCTCTCTGTCATAGCTGACTGAGGAGAGGCAGATTTAGAGTGAGTATGAGGTTTAGCCCGTTGGCTAACACAGCAGTCCCCTGCATAGCAGAAAAATACCCAGATAATTTAGGAGTCTTGGTTAACGCAATGAGACATAAAACTTCAAATATCATCCCATTCTGTTGATTGCAATTAAGAAAACGTGCAGCATTTCGCCTTTTAAAAAAAAAAAATCATGTAGTGATTATATAGCAAGACAACCCCTAGTTGCTTTAGTTGTGCAGAGATCCCCTCCAAGTGGCCTCAGGGGTGATGGGAGTTTAATATAAAGCTGACAGGTCTAACAAGGGTGAGGTCACCCCCGCTCTAATAACTCAGCGAGGAAATACACTGTCCGTCTCCACCACTCTGAGAGGGGAGACCTGATAGTTCGGTTAACACCCTGGTAAATTTAGTGGAGTGGACTGGCCGTGGGTTATCTGGTTTCAAACAAACGCACACTCACACATGCATCACATGGAAACACAGCCAGACACTATGTCTGTGATGCCTGTTTTCCTCGCTTGGATTAGCAGGCTGCATGCATGAGAATGCACTCATTGCGCAAACACAAAACTTTCGGCCTTGCCCGTACTTCTCCTTGACATACAGAACATACAGTATGCAGTCTGTAAAACAACACTTACAGAAGAATAGCAGTCCCACATATCACACATGTGCAATGTCACCTATATATTTCAGTCTGTCACACACACATTAGGTCTGTTTTTCCTTGCATTTAGAAAAATAAAGCGAGTCCTATATTAGTTCTAACATTAGTGCAGCTTTTCTCTCGGCACTCTTTAGATCAGAGCAGCATTTGTAACTGATACATCTCCCACTGACATGTTTCTCTACAACACATGTTCATCTATCAGTAACACATGTAGAAACATATAAACACAATGCATGTTTGAAGGCACTTTGGGGGGAAACATGCCTTAATAATTTTGTTGTATAAACTGATACAGTTCTCTATGCCTTTGTTGCAATAGCACTGTTGCATGAGGATTTGCTCATTACTCAACAACGATCCATGTGGATGTGATGTTGTGTCCCCAAAACCTAATAAGACTCTTCAAAAAGCAGTACCCATTAATGTCATTCTCAACCACTTTGCTTCTTAAATTGACTCGCTTAGCATTGGTCACCACAGCAAACGTTTTAGAGTAATAGGAAAATGTGGTTGCCTACTTGAGGAAGCGGCTGAGGTATTGGCGGCTACAGGCGGACCAGGAGAAGATGCCATTGTGTCCGGCTAATGTTGGAGACATGATGTTGCCTTCTGACTTCTTACAGACGTTTCCTTCACCATCATGGACCATTCCAAAACTGTGGAATGAAGAAAGTCATCTTGTTTATGTGCTTCTTACCAGGACTATAAAGCAGAAATCACAGAAAGGCATTAGTATGAGTACCTAAAGTAGAAAAGTCATCATCAACTGGAATTTTTTTGCACAAGGAGAGTAAAAAAACATTGCATAAAAATCATAGTTAATCACATGTTGGTAGATACTATGCAAATTTTGCACTTTGTGATGGCCCGAGAACCTCTGCCGGGGTACGGTATATGTGTTGCTGTCTGTCTTTTCAGCATCCCTGGTTCCTGATTGGTTGGTTCTGGCAGCAGTTAGAGATTACGATATAGCTGGCCATTATCTCTATCCTCTCCAAGCCCTATAATAAAAGCCAATCCTGTTTTTCTTTTCCTGCCAGTCTCATTTGTTGAAATCTACCTTTGATGTTACATTTTTAATTGACAGTTAACCCGTTTTACTCCATCCCCCTCGTGTCTGAATGCAGTATTTTGTTATTTTATGGGCTCAGTTTTTACATTATCTACGGAACAAATCATACATTATGAGTAGATTAGAGATTTTGAGATGTTTACTTGTGTCCAGATTCATGGGCGATGGTGAAGGCGAGACCCAGGCCTGTGTCCTCATTAATGGTACAGCTCCGGTACTTGCTGCACATCCCGCTAATTGGAGCAAACCCTGCAAAACCAAAGATAGAATAAAAATAAAAAAAACTGAAATGATAACATCAGTTATTGCAGTTTAGGCTACCTTTGGACTGAATGCTTAAGAAAATATCAAACACACCATATCTGGGTTAAGCCTCCTCCAGATGTTAAAATATGGGATCTTGTGGGAACATTCCTGGATCCCCCTGCCACCTTTCACTTCACTTTAAACACCCTGAGTCTGTCTTCACTTCTTTCTCATATCTCTCATTGTCTATTAAACTCCCTTTTACTATTCTGCTCCCATTATGCCTCTTTCCTCTTAACACAGTCAGACACACACTTACTTCTACACACACACACAGCCCCCCTGGCTCTGAATCAAAAAGGATAATAGCCATAGGGGCCTCACTCAGTGTTTTTGTCTCAGTGTCTGAAGGGGAAATTTAGTCTTGTGTTTTGTTATTTTACAGGTCTAAGTCATGTGTTAAAGAGTGCACAAAGTAATGTTCTCATGTACATAACTAATGTGCGTAATAACACAAGACAGGCAGATTGACTGTGAGAACTACCATTTAGTTTAGTTTTTTGTGTCAGCAGAGAGTTAAATCATTGATATTTTATACTGGTATTGATGGATGGAGGAAAACATTATGGAATAGGGCTGTTACAGTAATGCAAATAAACTGTGTTATATACAGACTGGTAGCAAAAATGGTCATTTTGCATTGCACCTTTGGGAATAAGTCAGAGCTTACTCTTTTTAGACTGCACGGACGCATACATACACGCACACATACACACATGCATGCACGCACACACAGACACGCACACAAACACACATACATACACGCACACATACACACATGCATGCACACGCACACACAAACACACACACCTTTGAACTGGGGTCTCGTTGCAATGATTTGCACTAATGCTAGCCTCAGCACTTTGAAGTCAAAACTTGAGTCTGGATTTTGTAGGTAGTGTGTGTCTCTTTGCAAATGTGTGTGTGTGTGTGTGTGTGTGTGGGAGGGGGGGTGTTTGAGTGTGCGTCACTCTGTGTTTCACAGGAACACATTATTGTCGTTTTTTTTCTCACCGTGGGGAAGACAACAGTGTGTTTGCATGGTCATTACCACAAACAAGCTGTTGTTAGTTTGTTAGATGGCATACAGTCACAATGACTGTGTTTGTTTAAAGCAGAGGAGCCTGGTCTGTGCAGATGATAGCTAAAGGGCCCTGAATGTTCTGTGATTTAAGTGGAAACATGATTGGTGTGTTAGTATGAGTACACTGCCGGTACTCCATCTGCAATAACGCATGTTATTTTCTATAGATCTTTTTTCTCTATAGCCATCAATGACATGTTGCAGATTCGTCCAGCTGATCATGCATGTTTTTATGCCCTTTCACCATATGGATGTGATATTATTTTTTCTGCATTATCAAAAGTGAATGATACTGTGGTGGTGAAAAAAAATCTTGGGAGATGCGCAATTTTTAAACATCAGCTTTAGCAGATGTGATGCTTGGTCACACCATGTGACAGGGTACAGGACCACCTTCCCAGAGAGGGACAGAGGGCAAGGGAGAGTAAAATATTCATATCAAGAGTAAGAAACAAACACAAAATAGGGACAGATTGCATCAAAGTTAAAGTGACTTGGACAAACTGAATGGGTGTTACCAAAAAAGCATTTCCTCTTGCCCTTTCATTTTTGGGGATCAGTTTTCCAAGAAGAAGAAGAAGAAGAAGAAGAAGAAGAAGAAGAAGAAGAAGAAGAAGAGAAGAAGAAGAAGAAGAAGATATACCAAGTGTGTCACAGGGTTCATTCTTCCACGAGCAGATGTCGAGTCCTGTGAGGAGGATGGCGTGGTCGTGGTGTTGGCCCTCCCTGCCTCCCAGCGTTGACTGCCAGTGGCAGAAGCTGTTCAGTGTGTGGTCTGCATGGTGGTTGATCACCAAACCATCCTGTGAGATAAAGCAGATTAAAAGAGGTAATGTTGTCTTTATGGAAGGAAGCTCTGCGGAACGGTGTTATCGTTCAGAAAAATGTCAGTCAAATGAAATGGCATAACCTTCTTCTTCAGGCTAAAGTGAAGGACAACATGTCGGTTTGAGCGAGGACACTGATGAAAGTGATTTAAAATGTGAAGTGTTTTTGCTGGCAGGACAAGTGTCTGGGACATTTTTGCAATATTTGGCATTCCTCAAGCTGATACTCTCTCTTAAGGAAGATCGAAATCTTTTAACATCACAGGTGGATGGAAACCAGAATCCTTAATCGCGTCTTTTCCCTGACAGAACCCCCCCTCTTGCTTTCATTTACTTATCTCTCTCTTTCTCTCGCACCAAAGCTCACCTTTCCCCTCCTCTATGAGAATTTCCCTCCTCAATCTGGAAAAGATCCAAGGGAATGCATACCCTATAATTAACCACCGTAAAAGTGCTTAGTAGTTAGGACCACTGCGGGAAAATCTCAGGGAGAACGAGGAGAACTGATCCTTCAGGCATACAAACAAATAAACAAACAAATGGTCCGTATATAGCATGCCCTTCAGCTACATTTTAAGTACTTTGTTGTTCTTAGAGACCATAGAAAAACAAAGCCATTCAAGAGGAGGATTTTCATCCATAACATAAATGAATACATAAATAAATAAAATGTAAAAAAAAAAAAAAAAAATGCAACAAATAATCAAAGATTGAAGAGGGTGGCTCTTTGAGAACATGAAGGTTTTTAATACCACAGTGCTTATGGTGCTTTGTGGTGCTCACCTGCTCTTCATCCAGAAGCACGAGGCCCACTATCACGATGTTGATGTTACCCCCTATTGTACCGTCTTTGAAGAGACTGGAGACCTACAACACACAGAAGACAAAATTATTGAATTTGACTACAATCAACTTGTCAAAGTTTGCAACAAGAAGGGTAATGTTTCTTCTACGACTTTGAAAACTGGTAAAATAGAGGTTCACACTTTTTTTTAAAGTCTGTCCTTAAAAGCTTTATATACCCATATCAACTGTATAAAGCATGCACAGTTTAACCTGAAGAGGGCATCCTGCAAATTCAACTTTAAATGGCAAAGCTTTTGTTTTCAAAAAGTGTTGGATTGTTTGACTGGATCAACTACAACTGAAGTGTTTTATTTTGAAGTAACGGACATGTTGAGTCATTAACACTTCCAAGTATCATAAAGCTATTTAAAACCCTCCGCTATGACACAACTTCAGTCTCAACAAAATAAAAGACATGCTGACTGCCCCCCCAGAAAACTCCCTAACAGAAACTTCTTAAGATATTTCCCTAATTGTATATACTTTGCAGAGTTCCCAGTAACATCTATTCGATATGATCGTTTTTTTAAATGGGTAACAATCACAATATGCTATGCTTCAAATAATGGATCAAAATATAAGCCTTATACTGAGTGAAGCATACAGAGATTGTTTTTTAACACACAACTTACAAACTTTCTGCCATCGATATTGAAGGTTTTGAGGTTAAAGTTACATTAATGGCATAGTCTGAAGTTAAAGTCTTTCTGAATAAGGCATTAGCGAGTGCTTTATGCATTTTTGTACATGCTAAGAAGCTATGTCATTTGTGTACCTTTGCATAAGGTGTTACTGAATTATATTTTCAAAGTGTCCCTTGGACACGCTACATCCTTTTTATTTTTACTAATTGATCAAGCTAAGAGTCACTGAATTAAGCATTATAGCTTTATTTCTAATCTCTTACTTCTTGCGCCAGGTGGACACATACAATAGAGAGGTCTGTGTCAAATGAATGAGGGAACACACCTTGACATTCCTGTAGAAATAACACCTTAAACTCCTTTTGATGGTATCAGTGATGTTTGACAGCCACAACTGCTGTTTCCAATTCAACATCTCATACTCACACGGATATCTGACCATCAATCATAACAGTTTTGGCTTTGAAAATGGACTCCTGATCTTATTGCTCTTGTTCGCGCTCTGTCTTTCTCTCGGGCCCTATGAATACCTCAGGTGCCACTCACTAAGCCTTTCTTTTTCCCCTTTCAGGAACACTCTCATTCGTTCCTTATGTTCCCGATGTTTGGTCTTCCTCTGACCTGACTCATGGGAAGACACATGGCCGTGGTTTGTTACCGATTTGGAGCACAATTTGGAGGTCAAAGAGGCAATCAAAACCACTTACTTAAGCTAAGATCTCCTAGTTGCCAGTGTTTGACAGAATTTAAGATAAGCACAATTCAACAGATTGTTTTAATTGTCTCAGCAAAGAAACAATCACCAGTTTCCATAGAGTTTCAGTGTTTTGTGTTACAAAATGTGAAATGTTTTTTTAAGATAAGTAACTAAAAAAACCTTTTCTCTGCCACAGAAAAAATAAATCTGAAAATATCCTCTGAAGGCATATCATATTTAATTCTCAGCAAATATTAAATCACTTTTTTCAACACCCATGAGACCTGGCATGTGAGGAGAAGGGGCTTGGGTGTTTTCTGTGAAACTCCATACCGTATTTAGGCGACTCCTCTGAGGCGGGCTGTGACCGCTCCAGCTTGGTTTCTACTAAAGGGAACTGTGTTTTCAAAATAGACGGATTATCTTTGGATTTGTCAGTCAGTCATTTAGTAGCAAAACGAGGGTGACGGAATCTGCTAGCAGATCAGCTGAGAAGCCGGAGACACTGTGATCTCACCCTATCAGTTTCATGTGTTTAGATATGCTCCTTCTCACTTGACCCTGGGCTATTGTAAACTTTAAATTCATTTATGTACCTCTAAGTCAATCTATACTGCCCTTTACATGTAATATAATGACAAAAACTGAGAGTTACTTTAAAGTCAGGATTAAGCTTTGGTATAACATGCCAAAACATTCTATGACATGAAGGCTTTCTTGAACTTTTGTTAAATCCACTTAAAATAATATGTATTATTTCACTCATGCATTGCAGTTCTTCTTTCTATCATAAAGCTGAACTTTACAAAATTGCTAATTGCCATCATAGCAACACTCCATGTGGCTACATGCTTAAGAACAGCAGTACTTTGAGATAAATGCTACTATACGTCTGCTATTACTTCAAAATAATAATTCCTATTCCTGTTGCACAGATTGGTTAATATGTTTGTATCTATTGTTGCAGTTATAAACCCTATCTTGCAGCAACTTCACATGGCAAGTTTCAGCTAGCTATTATCTAGCCACATAACATTAGCATGCTAAGATACTCAACGTTCATTTCCAGTGTATCGCAATATCTCAATGTTGTGCAGGTTGAAACTCAGTCATAAAACAAATATTAAGGAATAATTCCTTAATATACATTGCACTTAAGTCCATACAGCTCTGTTTTTGTTTTATCTTTTAGCTCATACAAGTGCGTCACTTATCATCAGGCTGTCCTCACCATATTAAGCACAGTAAGAACATATGTGGTAATGTTCTCATGGCCATGGTTGTCCATCATCTTCTTGTCCACGACCACTAGCATTTCCACGTTGAGCCTCTGGCTGACCTGATTCTTCATCAGCACGGCTCTTTTGTTTCTGGGGATGAACTTGTACTCATCGGGTAGAACAAATACATCGTCTTCAGGAGGTTTTGGCATGTCTGTTTAAAACAGGAAAGAGAAAATTCAATAACTGGCTGCAGAGTCAAGACGATTCAGAACAAACTGTTTTTCAGTGTGTTGTGGGTTGCTACTGATTTATTAAAGAAAAAACAATGCATATAGGCCTAATGGCAATTTAATATCTGTTACAACACCCATTACAATATGCAACACCTCCTTCCCACAGGTGATTATATGTTGTGTCATATTTGTAATGAACATATAGAAAATAGCTTTGTCTTCTAGTGTTAGCCAGTGATCCTGGCAAAAAGCTGAAAACTAATGGATGATTTACTATACTGTTTCTTTCATGATCTGATGTCATGGATATACTGCAAAATGAGTTTTTTTTCTGTTGTTGAATCTGGCGGTCTGTTTGTTACAGTACCTTAAAGTAAAGTGTAAAACCATAGCATATGGCTGTAAATTAGCAGCATTTAGCGAGTTGAATATTCTCTGTGTGATGGTTGTATGAGCTCTGCGTACTCAAAAACAGATACATTCTGTCATCAGTGCAGTTGCCAAATACATACCTGAGTAATTTCAGAGATTTTGTAGACATAGCAAAATGTTTCATAGTGTTGGAGCCAAACCTCGACTCATAATAAGAAATAAAAATGAGTTCAAATATTCACCTTTATGTGTGTTAATTCACTTTTCAAACTGTTAATAATGGGGATTTTTAAGAGGTGACTGGAAATATGTCAGTGTGTCACAGATTAGATCCTGTTTTTCCCTGTTTGTTCCTGTTCCTGAGGGGGAACTTGTCAGCACTTTAAGTGAACATGTGACTCAGATAAACTGGACATACGCTTAACATCAAATGCACATCTCTGCCTTTTTTTTTTAACTCTTTGAAGTTGCTCTGCATTTGGGAAAAAACGTCACACAGCCATGTCCACTTCTTCTCTCTGATATGAGGTCAATGGTACACACAAGTCAAAGCAAAGCAATAACTAAAGTATTGTAAGATGTGACAATATCACCTCTAATCTTCTCATCTTTGTTTTCTTAGGTTGTCAAAACTTTCGCCCATCACTGCCTGGCTGTGATAAACAAGAAAGACTAGAAAGTTTGCTTACATAGGCGGAAAGCAGGTGAGCCACCAAAGTGCTTTTTTGTCTGAAACATGGCACAGGTGTTCAGTGATGTCATCCTGTGGGAATGTAAACATTGGTGTGTTTTCACAGGGGACAGACAGCTGTGGTTCTGAAGGGTGATGGTGGTACCAGTCCGGTTCCTGCCTGCCTCTCTTACAAGTGACCCCGGTGACCTCGGCAATGTTATCTGATCTTGTGGTAATTTCTCAAAGCTAACATTTATAATAGCGTAACATGGATATCAAACCTGTCACAGGTTATGTCACACATTACCTCAAAAAAGTCGGCAATAACTTAACAAGATAATATTCTTAAGTGGAAACTTTTGTTTCATCATGCGAGATACCAATCAAAACTTCCTCCAGCTGGTTCCCACCCTTAGGATAACTTCCAAAGGAAATTTACAAAACGTTTCAATCGAGTGATTATAGGAATAAAAATGCGCATATGTGAAATTGAGCCTTTGATTTAATCAGTAAAAAATACTTCTCTGGAGGTAAAAATGGGTCAATGACAGTACAATAGCACATAATGTATCAAATGTAAAGCAAGTTATAAAAAATTATACGTCGTGTTGAACTTTCTGTTAAAGTTGTTCATGCAATCACTGAACTTTGCAGCACTTATGATAATACCGGCATTCATTGCGATACAATTAATATGGTGACATATTCATGATGGTGTCTCCGCTTACACGAACCAACCACAATACTTGGAGATTGACTGCTAAATGGGAATGGCAATAAATAGAGCTATTATGCTAAGCAAGTCTTTGTTTTTCCTCACTGACACCGTAAGTGCTGTGATAATTCCTCGAAACGACTAATTAAGTTACATCTGGAGAGTTAAGCATCATATACATCATGTGTAACATGAGATATATGTCCAGCTGTGAACTTTATTATTTAAGTTTTAAACATTCATTTTATTTGAGGGACTGTTAGGGGCAAATAGGACTACATGGTCATTTTCAGAGCAACATATTTTGTTACATACTAAAAAAGATCCTGGTAGGACAAAGTGCATTACAGTAGATTAACCTAATGATAAAATCTTAGGTTGTATTAATGCTGTTTGCTACATGAGGATTAGAATGAGAAATGGCCCTTACATACATTTCTTCCTTCTCCCGCAGAAGTGTTGCCTGTGCCTCTCATTATGTCTGTAGTCGTTTTCATGGTGATGGCTGCTATGATGATGCTCCACCTGGTCACCATGTCTGCTGCCTCTGTTGTTGCCATGGTGCTGTTTTTGCTGCTCTCCGTTTACTGGGCTTTCCATGGGTTCTGTCATTGAGCTTGTGGATCTCTTGGAGACGGAGTGTCCGTGTGATTTGTGATGAGTTGAATCGGCTGATCTCTCCTGAAGCGCCTGAGGCCCCTGACCCCTACGCTCGGCCCGGGCCGTTGTCTTGCTCTTGTAGAGGATGTGCGGCTGATGGCTTGAGGGTGCTGTAAAGTTCTCTGTCTGAGCGAGGCTGCTTGGTACAGGTCTCAGGAAGTAGTCTGCATCATGTGTTCTGATCAAACCTGACTAGATGCAAAACATAAAGTGTCATTAGCTTCACAGCAATATTTTATTTTATCAACCTTCTGTATTAGATTGTATGCACTTAAACCATTTATGGAGACCCAAACAAAACATATTTAAATCTACCTATACTGCCTTTAATGTATCAGCTATAAATTCTGTCTGCTGACAAATAGTCTCAAGGGCTGCAGCCATACTTTAAAAACGGACAAAACAGTAACCCTTTCTAGTGATTCATTGAGCTTCCCCATCTATCTCTGTCAGCAATTAGTCAAGACTTGAGTCATAGGTCACTGTGTACGTGACCCCACTAAAGCTCTGTGTGGCTCAATTACTGGCCGTGTTTCTTCATGTTCAACGTCTGTTCAGCTGGTTCAGGGTCAGACGTTATCTCAGGACAATCTAAATGAGACTTGGTCAGAATGGACGAGTTCAAACAAAAAGGCTTGTGTAAGGATAAAAGGATGTAGCATGTCTCTCTCAGTGCATATGTCCATAGATGTCAAGGTTGCTTTCTTTAGGAGTCACATAATAAGTCCCTGCTCCGAAAGAATCATCTAAATGTAATTAGCAACCCCATTTAAATACATTTAAGACATCATTTTTTTTGTCCCTTTCTCTTGAAACATCACTTGTGGGAGGCCACATGAAGGAGAGAGCCCCACTTTAGGCATCAGTGCCTTTGGCTTTTGATTCTAATGGATAAGTTATTGACTTGCCCATTATAAATCTCGACTGGTTCAGCACTGGTTTCTTCAATCGACCCTTCAATTCACCTCTTTTTTCTCTCAATCTTTTAAGAAAAGAGAGAAGACTTAACAGTTTTCAATAAACCTCTTTCCACACAGCTCATTCAGAAAGTCTCTCTTTCCCTCAAACACCCCACACACACACACACACACACACACACACACACCACATCTGTGTTGACAGTCAACTGGCAAGAAGTGTTTGAACTGTAACTGTTCTTTGCAGAAATAACAGTCCTTCAAAAGCTTTATTTTGGTCACATTATGTTGACTATGGAGTCCTTTAAGACTTCAGTCTGACCCAGGGTGAGTATGGCAGCTGGAAAAAGATATTGTACTGCATTCATGCAAGTGAATGTACCTGTGTCAAAGTGTACAGGTGTGTGCGTACCTTAGTGTGCATTCAATTAAGAATGTTTCTTATTCGAATTAGTCCATCTTGCACAAGCAGACCTCTACAAGAGATGTATTTGGTGTTGCTAGAATGATCCTCACTACTGATTTTCCCCACGTCATCATCACTTACTAACACAAGCCTCTACCTCCGCCAGCCTGTCAGCCACAGATCAGGAGACCAGCAAAACAGAGTTCTTGGAAAGTGCTTTGACTGTATTAAGCTCTGAATTTGAGAATGATGAAATCGAAGAATGAAAGCCAACACAGATGTGCACAGTGCGGTTAGAATGACAGCATCGTTAAACGCTGTCTGTATTGTGAAAATGAAAGTTCTCACACATTTATGTTGCATTTTGTGAGTTATTGGTTCTGCAGCAGCTGAATCTGTTCAGTCCAATATGCTCTAAAAATATGAACGCACATTATCCTTATCTAATAGGAGGAAAAGATAAAACTGTGTTGAACTTGTGAATGCATCTGTACGACTCTTAAGTCACAAATATGCAATTGGCTTCGGTGTGGGGATGGCCTGTGTAAATCCTACTATTAACTTTCGTGCCCTTACCACACACCAGCGGAGAGCAGTTGTTGTTTACAGGTGTGCATGCGTGAGGTAATGATCATTTCCCAGCGTACAGTAACTGGTGTTTGACAGACAAAAGATAACCGCAGAAATCTTTGGAGACATATTTACAGCCGGAAACCCACTTTTTGGCCCAGTACTTATTGCTATGATTACAATCTTTTAGGTCCCTTTTAAAAAAAGGTTAAAAACATGCAAAAACAAAACAATAGATAGTTCAAGTGATGTGCTTAAGCCTCAGACAGAGTATATGTTTGTTACATCCAAAAACTGCAAGCGTAGACATTTCTTTTCTCCATGTTAAAACCTCTATAAAGCACATGACTGGTTTTACTCAACAACCACAGCAATGTCCTATAAAAACACGGACTTTTAACCCTGATACAAAGTCCAGTTTTTTCTTAAGTGAAAATACAAGAAGATGGTGGGGTATTCAATAATAAAGAAAAAGAAAGGAATAGAGGGGCTTGCTTGCACACACATTTCTCTGTTCTGTAGCGGGCCTGCCAGCAGACAAGACATAATCCTCTCTGGGAAGCCCGGCAAGGAACATTGGTTACAATCACACGTGACAACCAGTGCGTGATCCTATCATCCGCATGGCACTCGCCCCAGCAATGTGTAATCACAGGCAATTGTCATAAATTGGTTCCAAGTCACGGTGAGGCCTATAACCTGGGCTGCTGTGAAATGTCCCATGTTAAGTGCTTCTTCTGTCTGGGTGGTTTGCATTGGGGTTGTTTTGCATTGCGAGCATTAGTATGAAGCTACAGAAGGGTGCTTTGTGATAGTTGACAAAAATATTTCGGCTGATTTGGTTTCTTCTTCACTTGTACACCGGGGACTTGAGAATTTTGGCGGAGATGAATAATTTCCCTTTCATGTTGTTTATATCATGGAGGTTATTTTTCATCAGCTCATTCCACTGGCAGTACAAAAAGGAGATGGGAAAGATAAAGAAAAGGAAATCCATGATGGAAAGATACAATCGTGGGACTCACACCTGCAGCCTTTGGACTGGCCTGTTCAGCCTGGAGTTCCTACAGAACCTGTCATATTCTGATTTCTTTTTAGAGTAGGCTGGAGTCAACAAGATCTGCTGGTTGATGTTCAGTTTTAAGAGAAACTCGGTAGATATGCAAAGAGCTGTATTACCTACAGTAAGATTATTTTCAACTACTGCAAACTATATCCATCTCATGTTGTAGGAAATACATAGTTTTGCTTTCAGTGAAGTTATCTAACTCCCAAGGATGCACAACTATTTAGAGCTATTTGCAAAATGTATAAATGTATAAAGCAAACAAATTCAAGTAGAAAATTCAGTTATTTAAAATATGGCTCTTTCTTGAGGTATTTCAACAAGCCTGAGTATCGTCATGGATACTGTTTCTTTATGATGATGTTCTACGCTTTCTGACTGCCACGTTTGTGTCTCCTCTTTTTAAGCACAGCTTGCATGAGTTACATTCCACAGTTTCTATACCTAGTCTGGTCTATCTTTTAGCAATTGTTGCTGAAGTTCTTGTTTTTTCATGTTATCAAGTTCACAATTAAAATAGATTAATTGTGGTTCTGCTGTGCTGTATGTACAAATGTTTGGTTTGTAACCAGAAAGGGTTCTGGAGATCTTCAGCAGTCTTTGATGAGGTTCCAATACCATGGTCCCTTAACAATATACAGGATTCATTGAGATCACTGTGTATGTGTTTTTTCATCTGCATACTGCCAACTATGTATATACTACACATATAGCTGTATTGTTCCGAAGCATGTATAGGAAATGTAAGTTATTCCTTACAGTATAACAACTGTCTCTGTTTCTGTTTTCATGATTTCTGAACACTTCATGTGAGGTGACCATAAGTAAATCAAAACCATGTTGTTTCAAAGTGAAGAAAAGGATGAGCTGATTTGGTTCATGTTTGAAGCTCCATCGTAACAAGAAGCACAAGTAACTCTCTAAACATCCTTTTGTTTCCTCTCATCTGCAGCCACTGTCACAGTAACTGAAATGACTTTTCTGGTTTAGGTATTTTGTCTTTATGTGTATTGTCCCTTGAATCAGACATTAAATAAAGATGTTGTATAGTTTTACTTGTGTTGGTACATGTGGTGGTCTTCTAAAGCATGCACATTTTCTGATTAGTTTGCAGAAAAAGTCTTTCCTCATAGACCAAACCCAGACAGAATTTTTACAGAAAACCACATGTTGTCACAGAATGTATATGACTTCCTAAACAAAGAAACATGCATCTTTCGCCCTAACTAGCCTTCAAACACCACAGATAATCTGTCTGTCTGTAGTCTGTAAACTGCACAGTCTTCAAGATTCAACCCGGCCTAACATAACAACAAGCATTCACTATACCCAGGAGTTTGTGTGCATGCAAGCCCCTATGTTAGGAGATTAGGTCAGCTAGAGCCTTTCCTAAATAGCCAAAGTCATCAGATTACACAGTGCGCTCTACGAGGTGCAAATAGCAGTCATAAAATGCTGAAACACTACTTGGGAGGGTGCAAACAGCTGGACTCTCTGGAGTCAGACACATCCAGACAGGCAGTGACAGGAATGGGGGGCTGGGGGTGGGGGGGGGGGGGCGGGAAAGAAACGGTAGGAAAACGGAACTGAGGGGGGAAGCAACCAGTGCATTACAAGGTGCACCTGACTGTGTAACTGTTCTCTTTCTTTTTGTTTTTAAGTGGTCTCTCCAGTGGCAACCAAAAGAGATAACAAACCTAACAGCTGATATTACAGTTTCATTTGTCTTTTAAAAAAAAATTTGCAACAAAGAAGCACAGTAAGTTTTAGAGTGTAGTGTCCTTCAGAAAACAAGAAAAAAAAAAGATTTTACTGTTTAACCATTTAAAGTTAAATGTTTGCTAAAAAAAAAAAGCAGCTGCACAAGAATGTAAGTAAAATAACAGCTGGAGAATTTGCACCACAAATCTATCTTACAGCTTTGCAACTTGATCTCAAAATGATCCCAAACAATATTTTTTTTGACAGCCGTGATACTTTACTTTGCATCATGGAAACTGGCTCTCTGATGGACACGTTTGAAGCAACTGAAGACAGGAGTTCAAACTCTGACTTAGTGTTGACAGGACTTATTGGAAAATTGGAAATGATACTTTGACATTGAACCCTACGGCTAGACACCAATCCTTAATCAATTAGTTGTTTCACTTCAAGCTGTACTTCAGTCATCTGTTGGCAGGTAGTGCACACATTACACAAACTGGATGTATATCAATTTGGAAACAACACATTTTCCAAAGTCTCACATATGTACATGACTTAAAACCAAATCTTCTTTGTCTGAACGAAAATAGTTTGAGTAATGTAAGTGCATGATAACTCTAACAATCCTTAAAGATCGTTTGACTGATCTAACTATATGTTTTGAAAATTGATCTTAGCAACCTGACAGGACCACACAGCCTGCTTTTCAAAGCTTCATCACATCAATGAACCATCCTTCATATATTCTTGGAAATCCCAGAGGTGGGACAAGTGTGTTCATTCTATTATTACTACTACTACACAGCCCTGAGGCGAGAAACACACCCAACCTTTTACAAGAGGAAAACACATGATCTCTGGTGATTTGTAGAGGGAGGACATACAGCACTTCCCTTTTGTACAAAAGAGACAGGTGCATTAAACGTCTGGGTGAAATTAGATAAAGCCATAGACTGTAAATATTAATGTACCAAGTCAGAGTGACGTCACCCATCTATTACTGCAGTGAGCTTTGAAAGCCCAACTATTTCTGTTGGGCTAGCATGACAGGCTAGCAGAATGCACAGAGCACATTGAAGTGTCAGCCTGTCAGAATGCTACTCACTAACTATGCTAGCCTGTGAAGGAGGTGGCTAAAATGTTTTTAGAATTAAGCTTGTTAGCAGTCTAACATTTTATGATACTTTATAAACAAAAAGTTCAGTTGTTGCTAATGGGAATTTCTAGGAGTAGCCAAATTTGTATATAGTCACTTGAAAGTAATGAAATCAAAATGTATCTTTTCAGGGGCTAAATAAGAAAATGTTGATTGACTTTATCATCAAGAGACTTATAATGTTTGAACCAAACTTTGTAAAAAAATACAATATGTGGAGACCAATTTGTTGGAAAGTTTGAATTATTGCTAAAGCCTGGCTAAAAATAAAACAAAATTTTCGATACATGGAAAATATTATAATTTATGTCTTCAGAGTTCAGTACCTGCTTGGCCATATAGTATTGAGTCAGATCAAAGTACTGCACAGATCCCACTAAATAATAAGTTACAGGATCAGCCTAGTTAATGGACTCTATCCTCTTGGGACTTTCAATATGTGTACAAAACTTAGGCTAGTGCTGAACCATCCTTTACGTGCATACTGTATATTTAAGTCAGGACCAAGATGGTGGACTTAAAGCCCAACAAAGTCATTGCTAAAGCTTGGCTAAAAATCAAACAAGATGTCCTATATGGGAAAAATAAATGATTCATGTTGCCAGAGTTCAATGCCTGTATGGCACTCTCCTCACCCCTTAACTCCCTCACCCCCATCAAAGCCAGACTAAAGAGGATTACGCTGCAGCATAAAGTCGACAGGAGCTGCTTTATGATCCCCTCTTCCACATGTGTGTCACTGTGCAGATTTCAAACCCTTTGGCAGGTGAACAGAGTCAGAGTGATTGGCCGGCTTCTTCTATTCCTGCTTGAAAGTAGGATATTTTTATGGTTGAACTCCTTACTGTCATTAAAAGGGGGATAACCACTATATGGGCTGCCAGACGAGGGGAGTTGAAAAGGCAACTTATGCCTAAGCTTTACAATGTAACACAATTTACAAGGGGGGTTTTCAGCACTTCAAAATGCCAGTGAGGAAACAATGACCCTCATAGCCTTCATCTCTACATCTTTCTTTCTGATCCATTGCTTTGCATTCATCAATCAGCCTGAGAATAAATAGTAACATAGAGGCCAAATATGACTCTCCAAAAATAGACTTTGGCCACAGCTACAAAGGTTTCAAGCTTTTCACAAACAAATGCCATTAAAAACAAATCTTAACTATTGAGGATTTAACATTTAAACATAACTAATCCACTTAGAGATTGTATCGGGCCAAAAATAGCAACAAGGAAATTGAAGAAACTTTTATAGTATACTGTAACAAAAAACTATCTATTGTGTACACAGAAGTGTACTTAACCTACCATAAACTACCCATTTACTTCATGCACATAGCACTTTGCTGTATGTGATTTCTAGGCCAGGCTCCATTCTGAAAATATAAATAATATATCAAATAAATATTTTCTCAAATAATGAGTTTGCAAAATAGGGTACAAAAAAAGAAAAAAAGATTTCAACTAGGCAGTGTCTGGCTGCAGTTGGAAGCCCAGTCCTCTCTCTGATACAGCTATTGATCTGGTTAACCCCCGGGTCAATATTTACCTGCCTCTAGCCAAAGAGAAACCTGACCAAAGTACAAGGTTTCCAATGTTGACCAGTCATAAACAAATAATGTGAAAGATCTGAAGTACACAAATAATAGTATGTATATGAGTTCATGCAACATACATACACTAACACAATCAGAAGACCAATGTAAAAACTCATCTCTTAAGGAGGATTGAGGTCAAGCAGCAAAAATGTATAAAGTGCAATTCAGCATGTGATTAAGGACGTTTAAAAAAAGCAATTATAACTATGTTTAGCTTTCCTAAGGAGTCTAAATACTTCTGTCTGCTGATAAACCAGCTTTGTTTTCCCTAATTTCCATAAAAAAAACCTCAGATTCTCATTGATGCACTGACCCAGTCCATTCTGGCCAGCCTCAGTCGTGAGAACCACATTTACAATCTCTGCAACCCTGGACCTTTCGGCTGAATGTTTTATTGGGATCTGGTCTGAGATGCAGACATGCACACACAAAGACACACAAGACTTTCTCTCTCTCTCTCTCTCTCTCTCTCACACACACACACACACACACACACACACACACGCACACACGCACACACGCACACACACACACACACACACACACACACACACACACACACACACACACAAAAGAAGAAGCATCCCTGGAGATATGTGCCATTCTCTGTCTGCATTTAAAGGGGGAATTCTCAGACACAGCAGTGGTCCTCCACAATAAAACACAAACAGTGAACCAACAAAGACAGGTCTGAAATGTAATATGATTAAAAACACTAAAAAGCAAAAAAACGAAATGGGCTCCTATTGGTTTTCAAAACATTTATTTTGATGAAATGATGAAAGAGGGTAAATTTGAAAGATTAAATCCTTTTCTTTCTGCTACAACAAGGTCTTCCAAATAAAAAAAAAGTTTATATGACCACAAGTTTTAATGTTCTCAAGACCGTTTTTGAACTATGAACTGCTAGACTCATACTAAAGTAAATAAGCAAGACCTCCGTGTTTCTCTTCCTCCTGCCCTGCTGCTCTCCATCTCCAGTGATTGTTGAATCTTTAATGAAAATGTGTCCATTTTAGTCCAGAGCTAAAAGGATTATTGTGCATTCATAAAGTCTTTTGTTTTGTCCAGACTGCTTAGAGGGATTGTATGAAGTTGGGGTCTTACTGGGGTGGAGCACTTAGGCTTACTTAGTGTCAATCTTACAGTAATGTTTCCTTTATATTCATGCAGAAGAGGAGGGACCACCAAGGTAAGACCTGGATTGGAGCCAAAGCTGTCCATAGAAAAGACTACATTTTGCTATTTTTGCCAACATTTAACAATAAACTACTTTCCCTTAGAACAATTTAAATGTTTAAGAGATAAAAAAAAGGAACATTTCCAAAAAAGATAAACATCAACAACAGAGGTTTGGTTCATACATTTCCTTCCCACACAAAGATCATCAATCTGTCCCTTTAAACGTAAAAAAAGAAATCGGCTCACTTTGGATTATGGTATCATCCAAATAGGTTTAATAGCTTTTATAATGTACTACATCATACTAATATGAACATAATTTACAAGTCAGCTTTGCTAACAAGTTACATCCCATCCACTCAATTCCATGACAATGTAGGTCAATTGCATCTTCTGTAAATTTTATTTTGCTGTTTGCATAATAAGTTCCCTTTTTTTTGTTGACAGCTGTGTTCGATCTGAGAACCATAAAATCTATGCAAAAGGAATGCCACGCAGGGATTGGAAATATGAAATCTAAAATGATATCCCTGATCTGTACTTCATTTGATTGTGATGAGAGCTGGTTGAACAGTATACAGCAATCCATGAAAGTGATGAATTACCTACAAAACATTGCTTTCTGGCATGAATTCATATTGGGGATTTTCCTATAAACTAAACATTACGAACTGCTCCAAGACTTGACTTTTCCATTCATTAGTTATTCATTAGCTGATTTAGGCAAAGTGCATTCCATGAGGGATGAGCCAGAGCAAATGATGCACAACAGAACTAAGGAAGAAGTGACTTTACTACCCAGTAGCCTTTTAAGTCAACTTAATTAAGTCAAGCACAACAATATTCTGACCAGATCAGACAGCCAATGCAAAGACTCAGACTATGTTTGAAAGGCAGTTTCACACTAGCAAACCAAAGGGCTAGTTGATTAATGTTTAGGTGTCAATTAATGAGTGCCACATCTATAAAAATGTTATTATATCTAGATTAACTGGACTGCTGTTATCTGATTTTCCTCCTGCTTCTCCTTTCACACATCCTTTGTTCAGTGTTTTTTCAATGACCAGTTAAAATCCAAAATGACCATGACCTATTTTTTTCGTATTCTTTCTTTCAGATTGAGCATGACAAAAACACTTGTGCTATGTTTATATTATCATGGGTCCCAGGATGAGCCAATTTTCTTAAATTTGGCTCCCAGGCTCAACATTTGTTCTCGGTCATAGAGTGTAATTACAGTACTCTCTTGGTGGTGCAGCCCCAGCGCTGCCAACATTCGGATAAAATATAAAATGTCCAGGATATGCCCTTTCAAATTAACCGACCTCTGAGTCCTACACACACGCCAATCCTAATAAGACTACTCCTTTTTTATTATCCAAACCCTCCCACAACTCCCAGAATGCTCAGACTCACCATCCCCATGCACGTGGACAGTGCCGCGGAGGAGTTGATCCTTGACCTCAGTGACCCCTGATAAAAGCACAGGTCGTCCTTGTGGTAGGCCCTCAGGCTCTTGGTGCCATTCTTTCCCAGGACCTGGATGGTGAAGCCAGGTGTGATTAGGCTCTCCGAGGCCTCCTTCAACTCCATGTGGAAGTCCTGCCCCAAACCACTCAGCCGGAAGTGAACTGTTTCACTACTGCTGTCGGTGTTTGGTGAGTCTGCATCTGGGTTCAGAGATCTTCGTCGCCTTCTGCGCTGGTGGTGGGCGACTTCATGAGAGATGTAAACACCCTGGTGGTTGACCTCATATGGAGACACAATCTCATATTCTGAATGAGGGATGAAGAAAGACAAGGAGAAGAAGAGAGAGAAAATGTTAAATATGAGGAGATAATCGGGAACATTTTTGTAAAATCTGTGCTAAGACACTAAATCTAAATGTAAACAGAAATGATAGAGAGAACCAAAAACATATTCTACACTTTGGATACACCGAATAAATAGAATAACATCTATGGGAGACATTGCAAAAAAAAAGTTGCAATGCTTCTCTCATGGACAATTTTCAACTTGGTAAAAGTAAGACACATTGTCCTTGTAGTCATTGTAGTCCCTCATTGCTAATTCAATCTGCCAAGATCAGTTACTGTGATATATTGCATGCTGAGTCAGCTCTTACCTTGAGCGCATTACCGACTGAATGAATAAAAACTACAACCCCCAGCCTTCCTTTGTAAGTTTTCCTTGACCTGCCTCATATACTTTTGCTGGCAGGGTCAAGAAAGAGTTACAAGAAAAGGAAGGCTTTTAGACGATTCCACCACAAGCCCTTCCGTGGAGAGTGACTCATGTTTGACCTCAGTGTTTTACTACAGTTTTTTTAGCTCCAGCTGCAGGCTGGATAACTGCAGGTCATAAAAGGCGATGGTGGCAGGTCACTGTCCTGGCCTCTACGATTTGTTCAAGGGCTAATGGCACTCTGGCCACAGAAACTGATAGGCTTTCTACAAAAGGTCCAAACAAAAGAAAAGCTGAGTCCTTGATTTTCATTCAAAATGGTTTTTCAGAGAAAATCACAACAGTTATTGATGTCTTTTTAATCTTTTGAATAGCAGTGTTTGGCAAATGTATGCCCCTTGCCTGCACAGTAATATATAACATGTATTTTTTCCAACTGATGCCAGGAGGAAAAATTGTTTAAAAGTCAATGTAGTGTCATCTTAGTGGTCATGAAGGGAGTCTGTAGGCCATCACACACCTTCAGCAAAGTCTCTAAGAGCCACATCCATTTTACATAGTGGTATAGATATAGTGATACAAGAGTTCATGACTTACTTCATGTGCACTGGTGATTTTTGACCATCTAGCTAATTGATACTTGATAATAAAGTTGCAGTGGAGATTATGTCTACAACCAGATTGTTGGCTGCACCTATGCATGCATCTGTTAAAGAGAATCTTAAAAAAAGCATCAATAGTGGTTGAGGGATATTTATTGGCTTCTGGGATTCAGCTGATGTGATCTGTTGGGTTCCATTTAGGTCTGAGTAACCTCTAAGCAAACAAAGTACTTCATATCCAGATTTTTTTGTCGTGTTGAAATAGCCATTGAAAAGGTTCTCAGCCTTGCCAATGATGCATGACCATCACATCAGCTTAGAGCACACAGAAATAAAAGCAACCTTGGACTTACAGTCAACGAGACCCAGTGTCAGTTACTGTACATGACCTGCTTTAGCAAGACTGAATAATGAGTAAATATAGCACAGAGACAGACATGTTTTGCCAGAGCAGGGAGAAACATGCAGGGTGACAGACAGTGTGTCATCACTGGCAGTGTGAATGGCTGAGGTCGGAACTTGGATATTTGGTGAATCTTGATGCTGGGTAATAGCCCCTTCTCACAACATGACATATACGTATGGATGCATTTATTTAAAGCACCTTGCATTACTACGACTGCATGTTTTTGGTTTTTGGGTGGTGAAGGGTGGAGAAAAACCTAAAATCCTTGAAGTTTTATAGGACTGCAAAGAGCAAACACACAAGTCTCAAGTACTTTCTGTGCAGACAGAAAATGGTCTTCTCATTCTTTGTAATTTTGTCCACCTGCCCCCAACACACACACACACACACACACACACACACACACACACACACACACACACACACACACACACACACACAAAGTTACACCTAGTCCACTATGTTTGTTCCGCCTTAAGTCAAAACCCAGCTGCAGTGACCCGTGTCTGACAGTATACAAACAAGAGTCTGCGGGAACAGAGTGCACGCACACACACATGGCTGCTCTGATGGACTGAGACAAGATCTTGCAGTGGGTAGTTTGTTGGTTTAGTGGCTCCTGAGTGCCATTAGCACTGATAGGGGGTCCAACCTGTGGGTGCCTATAGGCTTAAACTTAACAAAAGACTGAACATTGTGAACTCTTTCCTCACCCCATTCTATCTCTGCCTGTATGAATGTTAAACACATTAAGCCTGAGAAATAGCTGTTAAAGCTCTGGCTGTGAGATGATCTGAAACAGAAAGGGCTTCCCCTTTTTTCAGCTTCCTCACATGTGCACAGAAAAAGGGAGTTTTGATGTTTGTTTATTTGTTTGTATGTGTGCTTTTCATGGTAACTCAGAAAAAAAAAAAAACTAAAACAAAGGGAGAGTGCGCAGCCAAAGCAGTTGCTGACTCAGCACCACATGGGGTTACATCTACAAAACAAAGAACAGATGAAAGTGTCACACAAGATGCTTTCACTAATTAGTGTATTGACTCTGAGAAGCTCAGTTTATTTTTATTGAAAGATTTAGTGACTCCCCAGGGGGTTCTAAAAATCTAAGTGTATTAAAATGAAAGAACTATTTTCTCAGCAATGGTATATAGGCCTATACTTATGATGATATTTTTGATCTGTAAACAGACTATTTGTCAATCAACTCACAAAGTTTAGTAAATTTAGAGTTACTAAATGTCTTTTAGAAACAATTCTGTGGACTCAATCTGAGCTCCACTGCTGCAGCAGACACTGATTGCTCTGTCAGGGTGAAGGTCGCTCCCTAGCGGTGAAGAGAAAAAATACACAGCGCAGGTGAGCAATGTTTGATGCCACTGGACTTTTGAGAGATACAGTGGGTGGCTTTTCGTTTCATTTTTTTTTTGTAACTGGTGGCAAGAAATAGCCAGGCAAGTCATAAACCACTCTGTCCAACATAATGAAAATAACAAAGTCACAAAAAGCACTGATGAATCTGAAACACACGTTTTTGTCAAACTATGACCCTACCTGTATGTTGAGGTAAATTAAGAGATCTCAGCAGGGCCGATACTTCTTGCTGAGATTCAACACTATCAGCACCATTATTCAAAAGTATGCTCTGCAAAGAAAAAAACATGCAAATATGATTGAATGCAGAGATAATAAAGCCACTTAAAGCATCATTCGACGATGACCACTTCAAAAGCTTTGCATGATTGTGAGATAATAGAACTGACTTACTTTGCTCAGTTTGAAAAAGCAAAAAAGATACAATACGAGCAACAGGGTCCACCGTCTCGACTTTGCACAAACCGGTAAGAAAGCCATCTCCGTAGATCACCTTTACGCACGACCTGAAGCTTCAATCACCCAGCTGCAATCTAAAAGTCCAAATAGTTTTAAACCCCAGTCCAGCAACAGCAGTTCTACAGCTGAAAGAAGCATCAATCAGTTTCAGATGCAGGTTTCTTCTTCACTCTCTTTCCTTTGGTTTCCATTCATTTCCGTGCGCAGTATCCCAACGCGTAAAATCTCTTGCACTCCAGTTCTCTCTCCCGGTCAGCATTTTCCCCTTTTCCATTCAGACAGAGCGACCAGAACCAAAAAAAAAAATCTCTCTCACTCTACCGCGCTCTCTCTCCCCAGTGACCCCCGCGGACCATTTTGACTCCCAGTGAAATCATGTGATTGTCTTAAATAGGCTGCGTCTCGTCTTGGCAGAAACAGACTTCTATGAAAGACGCACAAAGTACGAATCTGTTCCCCCCCCTGGAATCCGACGAGGGAGCACTGAACACATTGGCTGCCGAGGATTGTGTGTGTGTGTACGTTTGTGTTTTGAGGAGGGGGGTGTGGGTGGGGAGGGGTGGGGAGGGGGGTTAAGTACAGCCTGTAGCCAATCACATTTGACACCTGTGCTGAGAGATGGGGTTTGTGTTGGTCCATCTCTCAGGTTTCAGGAGGATGTTTGGGAGGAAGAATCAGTGTGTGAAAAGGTTCTATATTTGGTTTTCTTGCAGGGAAACCCTAATCCTCAAATACACTGTGAGTGAACTGTTTGCTGTGTTTGTTCCACATCCGGTCACTTTAATAGAATGATGCATTTTAAAGTATAAATCACAGGAAATAATGTTTGATTGCATCCAGTAGTCTGGACTCTGTAACCCAAACGTGACTTGGAGATTACACCCTGAAGCAGGTAATCAGTAATTTGTGATGGATTCGGGGCTGAAATGTAACCCCTGACCCCGTTTAATCCACTCTTCATTCTCCCCATCTCTCCTGTATTCTGCAGCTGCACTGATAGGCATGTTGCCAACATTTTTAAACTCCCCACAATCATTCATGGAAGTGCTTTAGCAGTGTTGGAGCCAGAGGATAGGGAGCGCTTGTTTCATATTCTGGAGCATTTCATCCTCCCCCAAAAGAAAACCAGATGAGTTTTCTGCTGTGCTGCTGCAGAAATGTACGTGTGACGGTTTATGGTGTGATCCTCTCGGCAGAGAGTCAGAGGAATCAGAGGTGATAGAGAGTGAGATGGTTCAATGGAGTTCTACCGTTTTGTTGTTGTATCATAGCCTCTGTGTCAGTATGTCAAATTATTAAACTCTTTTTAAAGAGTTCTTTGATTCCTACCAAGATTCTGATTGAAGGCAAACAAAAAGTGAACGTATATTTGATGTACAAGTGTCCAGAAAAGTAGTACACAGCCATTAAGCCAGAGATATGGAAGGGAAAAAAACAGAATCATGCTTCAGCAATTTACAGAAAGTGATGAGTGAAGACCTTAATGACAAATTCAAGTGAGTGATGGATGCCAGAAGAACAGAAACTAAACCTAAAAGTGGGGCAGGACATGGGCTCTCTATGACAGTCCTGAGGGTTTGTGCAAGGTGTTTGATGCATCTTCCAAACTCTCTGTGTCATGTAGGATTAGCAATAGTGTCACAAAGAGGGATGCATTAGCCTATTTGAGGAGAAAAGATGAGATAACTTTGCAGAATCAAAACCAAACAACCAAATATTTCCTTATGCAACTCCTGCAGATAAGAATGTGAATGTAAGCATCCTTAGAGTAATATGCTCTACGCCTTTAAAACTAATACATATACAAAACTTTCTCCCAGATTCCTGCCTAAGTTTGCCAATTCTGGATTTAATCAGTGATAAAACACCATCATGAAGACAATTCCTACCATATGTTTGGAGACTCGATAAATCTTTACAGTGTCAGCTGCTGCTGGGGTTATCGCCCCCTCTTCCCTTACATTTTGCACACATGTTTGCGTGCACTGCAATACAACACAATGCTCACATGCACCTAGGTGTCTGTGAACGACAACACACTGCACTAGCATGCATGGGTCAGTATGTTTGGTCAGCAATTTGAAGCGCACACAGCTGATTTGGAACGTTTCCAAAGCTTTGAACTTTGAAACACTGTGACAGTGTTGTGTTGTCAGACCATCAAACACCCTGACAGTTATGTGCTTTATTGTGTGTGTGTGTGTGTGTGTGTGTGTGTGTGTGTGTGTGTGTGTGTGTGTGTGTGTGTGTGTGAGCTAGTCAGGGAGAAGGGGGTGAGCAGGTACAGCAGTTTAAGAATAAAGAGAAGTCGCTGTATTGTTTGAAGAAATTGAGCAGAAAGAAACCCCCTGTGGTCTGAACTGGATGCCGTGAGTGATTTGACCTTTGTACCTCTGAGCTCCTGTAGTCTGCCTGTCTTTCTGTCTGTCTGTCTACCTGTCTATCTGCCTGTCTACCTGACTGCATGCTTTCCTGACTCTCATTCACTGTTTGCCTGTCTTCAGTATCATCTGGGGATGCACAAAGACAAAGAGCCGGCACATAAAGGGAGCTCTTTCGCGTGTTATTTCCACTCACACTGACGCATGCAGTCTCACACGAACAGTGCATTAGTTCACATCAGAAAAGCTGCAAACATTCTTCTTTCTACTTTTCATCACAGGAACAGTTTGATCCTTGAACTAGTTTGAAATAAGGAAGAAATGCAACAAATACCCCTCCCCCCTTTTGCACTATATAGATTTGGTTGTGAAATTTGAAAGTGCAACAATTTAATGCTATATTTTCTGAACTAAATACTCAAACTTTATTCAAAGGAAAAAATGGGTCCCTGAGACACTGGACACTGAACATATATCACAGAATCTGTAAACTTCTCCAACTTTCACATTTCTCAACCAAAACTCCCATAGTGCACCTTCAACATTCATCTGCGTAATGTTTAATCTATGTGCAAATGTGTGGCTTTGTTGAAAGAAGAAGGTGATTGAGCTTACTCACTATCATACTCAGGTTGGTTTAACTCAGGTGTGTGTTCATATACAGTATATGTAGCAATTATCACTAGTTGGATATGCTTTGCAGAAATACTGTAACATATGGTTAATAGCTATAGCCTGGCTATTTGCAAAGGTAATGAAAATCTGCCTTCTGGCACTGCTAAAGATTTAATTCTTATTTGTTTTCATGTGTCCCAAAAGTGTAAACACATAAACCAAAACCATCCCATCTTTGACACATGACCACATGTCAAATAAGTAAATGCTGTTTTGAGACTTTAGTAATACAGAGTGGTACTCAGTATTCGTGCGCTGTCAGGCTGGTTTCTTACCTCTGAAGAGATCCAGATCACCTTTTATTTTTTGATTTATTGATAGATTTTTTGTAATTGTCTTTATGCAGTGCTGGCAGTAGCTTCCTATAGATGTGATATTGGTAAATCAAATATTTACAAAGGAGGAATGTGCTGCAGTTGTTATAATAAAGGTTATGTATATGTGTGTGTTTGGACTTTTGTATGTTTTGAGCTTGTTTGGTTTCTGAAGAAGCAACACATTTCTCAGAATTGAAATCTTTGACGAAGTCTATATGGCCTTGCTTCCTCATTTTATGAGCTTTAACAAAACTTGTGGTGAGCATAGCTTCAAGTTTGTCTGTATGCTCTCTGATGTGATCAATGTAATTCTGTGTCTTTGTGCATAATAATAACGAGGGTGAACCTGGACATGCACGGATTCCTGTGATTGTGTGATTTGTATTGGTCCTTATGATCGTGTGTGTGACTGGTAAGCTGACAGCAGCTGTAAAATTCCTCTCTGAGCATCACAGAGGGGAGGCTGATGAGAGCTGACAGGGAGTGAGAGTGAAAGGAGGTGGGAGAGGAAGATGAAGGTGAGTGAGGAGCAGGGGGAGACGCTGGTTGGCAGCTAGCTTGATGATCGAAGGTTTGGTCTGGCATTGCAGAAAATCAGAGCTGCTGTCGAAGAATAACTATGTCTTTATGGTTATTATCCTGACCTTATCCAATGTAACCCATACACCTTGGATGTATCAGCTCAGGGTGAAAGAACTGCTTCCTTTAAATATCTACAGATGGGGCTGAAGTCTGGCTTTTAGCCACTGCTGGACCTTTTCCCAGCTATCCGTTTGTCTATATAACTATATTGAAGAAAATGGTTTATTTAGTTTCAGCTTGAAACTATTATACCCTATAATGCATTACTTCATCAAATCTTCTATTCTATTCTATTCTAGTCTATCTTCTATAAATCTTTTTTATTGAATGTTAATGTTAATGTGTGAATATATGCAGCCGGTTTACTAAAAAAGAGATTGATGCTCTACATACTCAATGACAAAACAATTGTTCTATTTTTATTTTGGTGCATTTAGGATATTAATTTGGCACTTTAGTAAGAACTTTTACATACATGTCACGGTTGTATGTTTTCTGTGCTGTTTGTCCCTCCTGTTGTCTCCAGCCCAGGTGAAGCTGCTGATTGAGGTGTACCCGGCCTCAGAGCTTAAAGGCAGAGTGCTGAGTTCAAGAGGAGAGGCTTTTGGGACTGCTGTGCCTCTCAGCCAGGGATTGGCTGTTGTTGTGTCCATTAGATTAGTATTTGAGTTGATCTTCATTTAATGATTACGTTTGTCTGTAAACAAGAAATCCCTTCGTTTTCATTTTGGTAAGGTGTACGATGGGTTTCATTGGGTCAATTTGTGGGTTTGTTGTTAGCCCCATAGGACCAGCTCATGATGTGACGTAACAATACATTGCAAATAAAGGGAAGCCTTTTGCAATATGTGCAAAACTACAACAATAATCTGTGCCTTGCCTCATTAAATGTATAATCTCTTTGGATTGATTGATTGAAGTCTTTTTTTGAACATGTACTTTTTTCCCACCAAGACAACAAACAAAAAACCCACAAAAGAATTGTGCAAAAGACAACAGACAATTCTAAATACATGTTCAAAAAGGAGTTGGAAGAAGCTTGAAATTATCTTATCCTACTCCCTCTCCATTCATCTTTAGTTACTAGTTCAGCATAGGCTTCTTATTAAATCCTAATTTCTGATTATTTTAGATGCAAATGCAGTTGCTGCCCACCACTGTCAAAATCTCAGATTGACAACAGGTCATAGGATTGTATTCCTTTTTTATTTTTATTCAAACTAACATCAAATAACCTAGTCCTTTTAAATACTATTTTCAAGCCACCATTATCCTCACTGCAGTTAAAAGCCTATCTGATTATTGTACTATTCATATTTCTTTTATGACATTATTTCATCATGTCAAATCCAATACATAAACTCCTAACACTTATTATTATCACTCATAAAACATCATCCGTCTTGAAAATAAATTTTTATCAACAGAGCATAGAAAATAAAAGTCTTGTT